TTAAACATGGCCGAGCCAGCCGTTTGTCCCTGGTTTCCTCTCCCGACAGGCTGGTTTCCCTGTCACACTCTCACGCGCATCCCTGGCAGCGTCGTGCGTCCCTGGCAGCGTCGTGCGTCCCTGGCAGCGTCGGCCCCGGGCAGTGACGGGTGGCTCCTCCATCCCCGAGGCTTCCTCTCCCCTTTCCAGGTTCCCGGTGTTAGGCCTTTCCCCAGAAAAGTGCCAGCGGCTCCTCTTTTCATTTTACCACTTGGATTCAGTTTTCTGGACTTCTGTTGGGGAATTCCCTCGCTTTCTCTTGATCGAATCATTTAGAAGTATTTCTGTTGTAATTTGACCAGCATGTGAATTGTCCCTGCTTTTCAGATCGAGTGCAAGTGATGCTAAAGGAAACGCCATTTCCCTCCTTTGGTGAACACCGCCCTCCCGGCCACTTACTCTGCAGCCCTCCCTGGGCCCCTTGCTTTGCCGGGTCCCTCTGTCGGGTGTCTGAGCACTTTTCTGGCTGGATGGCAATTCTGTCTGTTAAGTTGTGTTCCCTAAACTAAATGACTCAGCAGAGATGTTCTTACTCATTGTGTACCTAGGGCCTGGCACACAGTAAGCCTTCAGAAATATTTACAAAACCACACATGATTCCCACCTTTCTGAGTGAGAAAGACCCTTTTGTGACTGGCCCCAGATATTCCTCCTCTCGCTCCGCCTGCCTACACCAAGTTCTCTTTGGTTTCGGTTCCAGCAGCTTCCCTTCTGTGTGCGAGTCTGGAATGTCCATCAGCTGGTTCTCCCATTGTTTCCAAGGTGACTTTGTCTACGGGCACCTGATCTATCACTTTGCCTTCAAGAATGGATCCCAGCTCTTTCCGTCCTCTTTCAGACAGCTGCCCAGAATTGTCTGGGAGTCCTGGGTTTTGAGCTTGTGGAAGGGACCCACCTTATTCTTAACTCACTAGGCCTGACCCCTACCTGTGGCACCTGGCCAAACGAATCCAGCTTCACTGGGCCCAAAATTGCTCTCGTGGCGCTTCAGGGATGTGGGGAGCAGGTTCTCCCAGTGGCCTGCTGGGAGATAAGTGCAATGAGCAGTCTCGAGGCCCCGGTGCAGTGTGATACAGGACAGTTCTCTGGAAAGTGATATGTTGATGGTCACATGAAGGGGGCAGGTTGGTGGCTCTGCGGTGGCCCCTCCTTCCAGATCGACAGCCTCCTGGGCTCACCTCAGCCTCATCTCCTCTGCAAAACCTTTCTGAGTATTTACTCCCAGAAAGAATTCAGACTTTGTCAAGCACTGGGCCCTGGTGACTTCAAGTTCATCCATGTACACTCCTACTATGTGCTAAGCACTGGGATGGAGAATCCCAAAACAAACACGATTGCTTTCCTTCAGGAGTCACATGTACTGGGAGAGATAGCAATATGAACAAGAACCATCAGAGGATTGGGTAGTTAGGCTGCATTTTTAAAGATGGGTAGAAATTTACCAGGCAAACAAAGCCAGTGGTGCTGGTAGGGGGTGGGGCATCATGCTTTATTCTGTAAGTGCAAACGGCTCTGTGTTGCTAAGGCCAAATTTGGCTGGAAGGGCACCTTAAGTAGGAAATAAAAGCAGCGAGGCACACAGAGTCATGTGGGACTCCGTTCTAGAGGGCAGGTGAGGCAGGTGGGGGAGAGAGCTATGGCACAAGGATGAGTAGGCAAGAGAGGTCAGACTGATGTTAGAAAAGTCACCTCGCAGTGTGTGAGACTGAGGGGTGTTCAGTGAGGAGCTCGTTGGACACACAGCAAAGAGGAGCCACTGTGGGGGGTACCTGAGAGCACCAGCGGCAGGATTTGCTGAGCCACGTGCTGTGGTGTTGAGGGAAGAGTTTAGAGTGGCTCCCAAATTGCCCCTCTGGGGGAGCAGGCCCACAGGAAGCAGACCCACTAATGAGCCATCATCCGTCGCTGGGACAGATTGATGGGGCTTTGCTCCGGGCCCCTGAGATGACCACACCAGCTGAGGAGGTCAGCCTGACCCTTAAAATCCGGATGAGATTTTAAGAATTCCAATCAGATTGGAATTCACATTTCTTGACTTGTGAAAAATCTCGGCCCCTCCCCTCTGTCCCCCGGATTTTCTTCGAATTCTCAGGTTGAGTCTTTTGGTCACTTCCGGCTCAGAGTATACCAATTCCACTTATGGCCACCCTCCCCAGGCCACACTTGTGCTTGCTCATCAGCATGTTGGTCCAGATGCCCTCCTCTCTGCTGGGGGAGCCGGTCGCTCACACAAGGCTTCATGCCCACAGCAGAGGTTGTACGAGATGTGGGGGGCTGGAGGGGGCTCCGTCAGAGAAGTGGGAAGAGCTAGCTGCGTCACTTTGCTTCTCACATCTTCTAATTTTAGAAAGTTCTTTGGGGCACCCCGCGGGCAGCCACTTCCCACCGGTGACTTCCCACCTGGCCTCTTGCTCGCGCACCATCTGGTTGGTCACACCTGTTGCCGGCACTAAGCTCCACCCCCAAGATTCTGAGGCAGTCACACATTCTTCTCGTTCTCTCGTGCAGCAGAGAGCTCCCTGTAACCACATCGTCTCTTCATTTCCAAAACTCATCTAATTGCTGGTTGACCAAAAGAGCATTTTGCGATGAACACCATCCATTCTACTCAGAGGGTAATCAGAATTTTAAATGCCATTTTCAACGTTAGATGTTTTTAATGATTATGAAACTGTAAAAATATTCTTTAATGACTGTCTCCCATGTGTGTCCCAGCCTCTCCGGTGAACTTTCCCCTGTGGTAGCTGGAAACCCAAGGTGAGCTGGGCACCTGCTGTCTGAGGCCCTTCGTGGCTCTCCCCACCGCCACCCCTTCCCCATCAATCTGAGGGGCGTTCAGTGCTGTTCTCTGCTCTCTGCTGAGATCAGGGCCCCCAGGAGGTGGCTGAAATTGGGAGGGGATGATAGCCTTGGAAAGGGGACATTTCTTCTTCATAGGAAGCCTTGCACAGAATGCTCCTCCTAGACCAGTTTGGAGGACATCCTTACCCTCGTTCCCAGCACCCAGTTGGTCACTGGGACACCGGGATTATTCATGACCCTGCCAGGCAGACAGCTCTTTGTATCTTCCAAGTTCCTCCCAGGACACCCAAAGGGGGCTGCTGAAATGGGAGGGTCCTAGCACCAGTATCCCTGCCCTAGTAGGTAGGATTCCCTGCCCTACTAGGACCCCTCCAAGGGAAAGTTGGGGTGCTGCATGTGTGTGGGAAGCTTTCCAATACACTCCAGGCCCTAAGTCTTCCTGACTGTCCGTCCATCCATCCAGGAGACAAGCTTTGCTGTTGTCAGAAGTTGCCAGTGGCATTAAGCATTCAGGGAGCAGTGAGAAATTATGTCTCCACTGTATTCACAGTCCAGTGCAGAAAGACCTACAGATAACTTCTGTAAAATATACCAAGGGCACTGCCTACAGATATGCAGAAGGGGCAGCACTGGCGTTTCTGGTCAAAACAGCAGCAGCCGTGGAGCCCATGCCATACCCTGAAGTGTTTCCCAGGTGGCTGGGGATCGGATGCACAGGCCACGTGAGCCTGGACCTGGAGGCTCTGGAAGACCAGCACCGACTTCAGCCATGGGAGCTCTGACTCCACCCTGAGGACAGTAGGGAGCCACTAAAGGGAATGATGGGATTTTGGTTTCATAAAACACACCTGGCAGCAGAGCAGAGGAGGTCCCAGGGCCAAAGGAGCAGTTAGAATGGATGCTGGGCCCTGTGTTCAGCCCTTAGTCTGTTGCAAGTTTATGGAGGGCAGGCCTGTGGCTGTTGTGTTGTTCATCACTATTCCAAGTACAGATCCTCACATGCTGTATCTTAGTGCTATGGACTGAATGGTATGTCTCTCCCCAGATTTACATGTTGAAAGCCTAACCCCCAATGTGATGGTACACGAAGGTGGAGCCTTTGGGAAGTGATCAGGGCATGACGGAGGAGCCCTCATGAAATGGACTTAGTGCCCTTTGAGACCCCAGAGAGCTCTCCCCCGCACCCGCCCTGGGGGCAGAGAGAGGCGACATCCATGAGTCTATGAACCAGGAAGCAGGCTGTCACCAGACCCCGGCCTATCTACTTACCCTGAATTGTGAGAAATAAACGTTTGCTCTTTGAAACCTTTAGTCTATGGGTTTTTTTATAGCAGCCTGAGCTAAGGCACAGAGGAACACAGTTGGTGAGGCAGCCCAGGGAGGGCAGGACTCACAGGCAGACACCTGCAGCAGCATCCCACCACCCTGAGAGCAGAGTGGGAGCCAGAGGCCCCGGGCCCAGTGTGGGCCGCGTGCTGACAGCAGGAGCTGCCACCGGGGGGCGCTGCCACGGCAGCTGCAGCACTTCCCTGCTGGGCTCGCTCAGCCATTTATGACCTGGAGTCACCTCCAGGTCATCACTGCAGAGTGGCAGTGATGGGGTGGGAAGGGGACAGGATTCATCTTTGGGGCCAGCAGACAGCCTCTGCCTGCAGCCTCCTGGCTCTGGGCCACACCCCCTGGGGCCCTGAGAACTCCTGCCTTTGTAGTTGCCAGGGCAACAGTGAGGTCAATTTGAGGCTGAGAAACAGGGGCTCCAAAGGTCTGTATTCTATTTTTTTGTACTTAGAAATTTTTTTTCATTTTTTTAATTTAGTTATTTTTCAAGTACAGTTTTTTGTCTATTTCTCCCATCCAAGCCCACGCCCCTGTCCCGCACTCCTCCCTCCCCCCTCCCCCCCCCCAGCCCTCCTACCTGTGTCCCTCTCATTTGTTCCCCCAAATCCCTCCCCCCTTAAATTTCCTTCCCTCTCCCCTCTGGTCACTGTCCACTTGTTCTCTATTTCAGTGTCTTTGTTTTTATTCTGCTTGCTTGTTCGTTTTGTTGTTTAGCTTCCTGTTAAAGGTGAGATCATATGGTATTTGTCTTTCAACACCTGGCCTATTTCACTCACAAAGTTCTGTTTTCTTAAGGAAAAAAAAAATGACTCTGACCAGAGTTTGATTGGATTAAAAAAGTGTATTGGATTTCCAATGCTAAATAAAAACATGAAATCGTTTTTTAAAAAGCCATAGAGTTTACAGCATCAACTACAGAAAAGGCCAAACAAGTGTGTACAGCAACGGGCCCCCAGCAGCCCCGCCCTCTGCAGTGGCCGGCACAGCGGCAGACACGCCTGTTCCAAACCCTCCCGGAAGGTGCTGCTGGGTGGCCACCCCCGTGGGCCATTACAAGACACACAATGGATGGTTTCGTTTCAAAAATCACAGCAAATGTAAGAAAATGTATTAAATTGTGAAAAGGTGCAATACAGAATAACTTTCCTTTTTCTTAATTTTAAAAAATCCCCAACTTTGAGCAGTTCCTTTATTTAAAAATAGGCCCCCCCACCCCAGCTCTGTGGCGGTGCCCGGGTACTGAGGCCCCGAGGTAACAGAGGCGCCTGGGCCCGTGGACGGGAAGGCCCTGAATACCGAGCGTGTTTCTTTGGGCAGAAGGTGAGCCGGCTCCTGGGGACTCTGGCCCCTGGCGCGGGTGCTCGGAGTGCTCTGTTCGGGAGCAGTGGGAATGCCCAGGCTCTGCAGAGCCCTGCCCGGCAGTATCCTCTGTGGCCAGCGGGCAGGGCGGCAGGAGTCAGCATTGCACTTTCCATTGCCCCAAATAATAAATACAGAGTTCATCGTCTAGAAAAGCAAATACGTGAGGAGACTTAAAAGGGGGAAATAACCAACGTACAAAGGCAAGTGGGTGCCGGTGGGGCCAGGGCCGGGTACCCGGTGGAGGTCTCACCAGCCGACCTCTGCTAGGCTGTGGGACCGGAGCCCAGGTGGCCTTCTGCACTGCCTTCCATGCTCTCTTCTGGGGAAGGTGCCTGAGGGTCTGTCCTATATTTTTCCATAATATATTCTTCATATTAAAAAGAACCAACACCTCAGCTCTTTACCTTTTTAAGACAAAGAAGATGGACTATTTGTGAAGGCAAAGGCTTCTGTGTGCAGCCAGGCCACCCGGCACTCCCTGGAACAGGGGCTTAGCTGAGCTGCTGGGGTGGGGGCACGGCTGTCCCCTGTGGCCCTCTCTGTGCCCATCCCCTGCCACATAAAGAACACTGTTCAGAAAGAAGCAGGGAGCCTCAGGGGCATGCAGCCCCCGCCTCATTCTCGCTAATGCAAGTGACCGCTGGACCGGCTGAGGACAGGAAATGGAGAGAAGCAAGGAGTCCTAAGTGGAACCTAGTCCCTTGTTAACCCTGACTTCCCCAGTGGGGACAGAGCCGGCTGTGGACTGGCCCCGCCCACTGCTGCACCCGGAGGTGCCTGCCTGCTCGGCACAGACACGCTCACTGGGACCTGAGCGAGACGTCAGGGCCCCCAAACCCTCGAACCCACCTATTGCACAGAAGAGCTTTCAACTAGGTCCAAATCAAAGTCCAGTTGCAACTTAGTGACAGCAGAGATGGATATGCCGGGAAGGGACAGTGACACAGACGCCTCCCTTCTCCGCGGGCTTGGGGAGGAAAGCGCTGCGGCAGAAACAGTCCCGGGGCCTCGGCAGCAGCCCCGATGCCCATTCCCAGTCCACCCCACCCCAGTACTGACACTGCACAGAAGCAACAAGCAAGTCTTTTCAATGTTACACATCATTCAAACAGATCTGTAATCTCACAGTGATGAGAGGAGAAAGTCAGGCCTTTAATAATTATAATAAAAAAATAATAAAAAAGCTTACAAACAGCAATGCAACATGTCCTCCCCACTCAGAGTGATGGGTTAACCGCTGGTAGAGGATGCAGTGATTCAGAATTAAAAATAAGAACAAAAAACAAGCCAATCCCTGGAACAACGCACATTGTTGATGACTTTCCATACATAATTCAAACAAGTAGTCAAACACCAACCACTTGTGGAGAACACCACGGACTTCCTCGGTTTTGATAGTGTTTTACTTCTGAAGGTAAAATAGGACACAAATAAAACTGTACATAAATGCAACATCTACACCCCGTAACGGCGACGCAGCCGCAGCTCGAAGCACTGCCTGACCACGGAGAGAAACAGGCTGGGGGCGCTTCCTGCCTCTTCCCTGACTCGGCGCTCTGCCGTCTGCCAGTCCTGCAGGGTCCCGGCAGGCGACGGGAAGCTGCCTCCACGCGGGCTTCTTCCAGGCTGACCAGGAGGAGGCAGGCGGCCGTGGTAGAGGCCGCCCCACGCAGGGACGCGGGCGGGTCTGCATGCTCACTCTGTGTTCTCAAGTGCTGTCCTCTTGTCCTCTGTACAATTCCTTGTTTTCAAGGCTAAGTCCCAAGACTTCTAAACTCAGGGCTGGAGTCACGTCCTGGTGAAGGCCGTCAGGCGGTTGTGATGGCATTTAGGTCCTTCATCAGTCCTTCCAGGTGGGCCATCTCTTTGGTCAGCTCATCTGGTTCATAGGTCTGGAAGAGAGCACGCCGTGACTGGGTGTGGTCGAGGAGCCCGCCAGGAGGAGAGCCCAGAGAGAGAGAGTGGCAGCAACAGTGTCAAACTGCCCCCAGAGACTGACTACCAAACCCCGGCGGGCCCGTGGAGTCACACATTATAGGAGGTGCCAGGGCCAGTAAGCCCCCAAGTCAGACACTACTCATTTCTCCACACTGCAAAATGCCTCTCCCACAATACTCGGCCCGGGGCCACCAGCTGCTCAGTCTGTCTATGTCTCTGCTACAGTCGATACAGTTAGTTGCTCTGTCCCTTAATCTCCGGACCCCAAGCTTTCCTCTTAAAGAGTCTTGTATCTGGAAATGCAGAGGCAAATGTTTTTATTGGGATGTGAGAGAGAAAAATCAAGGAGAGACCCTGTTGGCTTCTCATTTGAGAGCATCTATTGGAGTACCTTCCCCTTCAGCATCCCGCTCAGGACAGGTCATGAGGTGGGGCTGAAGAGGGAAAGAAGGTGAGGATGATTCAAACCAAGAAGAGAGGACGAGGGAGACAGGGCAGACTAAAAGGAAGGCTAGGGGTTGGCAGGGGAGAAAACGTAACTAGCTGGGCTGGTGAAGGTGAGAGGAAGCAGAGGACGCCTCAGCACCGTTCCCAGCTCCGAGGAGATGCCCGCCGGTGCCCGTCTGCGGAGTGATGAGTGGCCCTGCTTCATACTCTGGGCCAGTGCACTCTCAGGCCCTGGGACACGCCCCGAGACATCCTGGCTGGGCCGAGAGCCCCATGAACTTACACTTTCGGAGTCTTCCAGCATCCTTGTGGTCTCCTGCACTTCAGGGGCGCTGGGAACCACCACGGGCACAGGAGGCCTGCTCCTTCCCAGAGTCCCGATGGAGGCCGTCTTCACTGCGTGAACGTGGTGGTTCAGAGCTGCGGGGAAAGGCGCCGTCAGGCGCGTGGTCAAGCTTCCTCCCACCCAGACCCAGCGCACGACCTGCTCCAAGAAGGTACTGAGACCAGGTGGAAGGAGGGAGACAGGGCGCCCGAAAGGCCAGAGAAAATATTCCGTTTGCCTTCAGAAAACTAACCCCCCAGTCCAGGGGGCCTCAAAATGCAGTGGTCCACAGACCCCTTGCAGGATGTTGGGCAGATCGAACTCTTTTCATAACAGCACTAAAGTACTGTTTGCCTTTACTCTGATGCTACAGAAGCAACAATGGGGTCGCACTGCCGGAGCGCGGGCAGAAGTGAAGGCAGTCGCACCGAACAGTAAAGTCACTCACTGACACAAGCCTGCAGTTTGAAAGTCAGTTTAACGTAGGCTCATCCTTAAGGAAACTGTGAAAATTACTGTATTCAGTCTCAGCCTTGGCCACACATCTGTTCACGGCCCGTGATGGGACGGGGGGCGAGCACACAGCGTGCGGCCCCCGGGCTGGCAGGGGCGGCAACGCGGGCTGAGCGCCTGGCAGGCAGTTTTAGACAGCGAATGACGCAGGCCACTCACTCCAAGGAAAACAACAGACAGTGTTTACTGCCAATAATAAGATTTACGTTTCAAGTAAAATTAGAATTTTGAAAACCTTGTAACTACCACCATGAGCTTGAGAGCTTCCCAATATCTACAGACTTTGGTAATATAAATGAATGTATTTTTAGATATTATATCATGAAATGTATACAGATTTGGAGGACCTGTATAACTCAGTAAACCAGTATCTCCCAAATGACTAATATGTGTGTTGTGTGAAATGCGTTTAATAGAACAGAGATGGTTTCTGACTCCACATTACAGATAAAAACGTAAGAAACTACAACTTGCTGAGTTTTGCTGTAGATCAAAAAGAATATCCATGGTTATACTAAAAGGTTGTAAAAATATTCTTCCCCTCCTGGCTGGTATAGCGCAGTGGATTGAGCACAGGCCTGCAAACCAGAGGATCATGGTTTGATTCCCAGTCAGGGCACGTGCCTGGGTTGCAGGCCAGTTCCCAGCAGAGGACACATGAGAGAAAAACCACACATTGATGTTTCTCTCCCTCTCTCCTTCCCTTCCCCTCTAAAGATAAATAAATAAAATATTTTAAAAAATATTCTTCCCCTTTTCAACTACCTATTTATGAGGCCAGATTTTCTTCTTCCACTTCACCCGAAAGCACACAGTGCACCCGAATGCGGGCAGATGTGGGCAGGAGAGCGGCTTGGTCTTCTACCGAACCGCACCTTACAGAGACTCGCAACAGTGTAACAGTGTCACTATTCCCTTTATTTCTGTTTTGAAAAATAGTTATTTTTCATAAAAATCTGCTACTATCTTAATATGACAGATGCATTGCTATTTATTCCCTTTGTTTTCACCTGAGGACACTTTCTCGTCGCTCCCGGCGTGAGAGGCCGGGGGAGCAGGAGCACCGATGTGAGCGAGGAGCCCACGGGCTGCCTCCCACGGGCGCTCAGACGGGGGTGGCCCCCACGGCCTGGGTGTGAGCTCCCACTGGGAACCGGACTTGCAACTTTTCGGCTACAAGGCACTGTTCCAACCAACTGAGTCACACGGGCCAGGGTTGTGTGGCTGTTTTTAAATACATGAAATGGTTTTAAAATTTCTCGGTTTTCATTTCGAATATAGTAGACATTGAGGAAAAGCTCTTTTCTGGGCCTGATGACTTTTAAGAATACAAAGGGGTTTTCAGACCAAAAGGCTTGAAAAAAACCACTGATTTATTCTGAAACACACCATCACAATAGACGATACTGTGGAAGAGCAGGGAAGAGGCGTGCCTTTGAGGTCAGGGGACTTTGGTTCAGCTGCAGGAACTAAGGCTCCTCCTTTTCCCCAGCCCTGGCTCCCCTGCCCACCCCCCTCTGGCCTGCAGGGACCCTGGGGAGGGAGGCGGTTCTGGGAGGCTGGGTGGAGATCCGCTGCTCACAGCCAGGATACCAGATGTGACCACCAAGGATCCTGCACCCAAAACACAATCTAAAACGGCAGCTCACACTCCACAGCCGGTCAGTCTCTGGTCCCTGTGCATTCCTGCAGCCGGGAGCCCACACATCCCTGAGAGGGGTAATGGCACCCTGCTCCTTTCAGTTGCTGGGAGAAGCATAGAGGATATTTGCTTTGTTATTCTTTAAAGAAAGGGCGACTTCTGCCATAATCCAGAGCCAAAGGGTCCCTCCAGAGCAGCTGTCCCCACTCACCTTGCTGGGACAGTAACGGTGTGCTTGGCAGTGCAGGGTCATAGGTGGGAGGGCCTGGGGGCGGGATGGCAGGCACAGCAAAGCTCTTCAATGGGTGCGAAGGGCGAACGTGGGCTGTAGGAAGACTCTGGCCTGAATCTTCCTCTTGGGAGCTGGCCAAGTAAGAGGAGCTGGTAGCACCTTCAGGATCCTGGTGATCAGTGCAGCACGTCTGAGACGAGGAGGCTGGCATGGTGTCGGTGCTGGGGGTATTTCGAACAGATTCTACAGCAGGAGAGTCCAGACGTTAGCATTTTGTAAACCATTATACATAGGTGCACCCCAGGGTTCTGGCTGTTTCTAAGGGCCCCTGAAAGCAGCTGAGTATAAGCACTGAGGACCCTGGGTTCACACCACTGCCAAGGCTAAGTAAGAATGGACTAATCTAAAAACAGTGTCAAACGGTCTTGTCAACCAGCTGCTGAGATTTTTTTTTCACCTATGACACAGTTAAGTGGTCACAATTTTACAGATTTCAAGTTCTCCTCAGTACCTACTATAGTCCACATATAAAGGTTCGTGAGACTTCTGTCTATTAAGATGTAAATAATTATAAAAGTACATTTAAAATTTCACTCACTAATGAACAGTTGTAGGACTGGCCTTTCATAGATAACATGTCTAGTCATCAAGCCCGGCTGGGTCCCTGACAAGCAGCCGCCTGGCCAGGTGGCTACAGCAGGAGAGTCAAGGCCACAGGCCCCGCCTGCCTTCAACAGACCGCGCACAGCCTCACCAGAGCGACGGCCCCACAGCTCTGAGACCTGGGCACCCAGCTAGTCGAGAGGGCCACGAATGGCTTTAAGGTTATGTCATGTGAATGGTGTTGCGGTCAGAGAAAGAAATGGGGTAGGTTAGGTCAGCCCAGAAAAGGGGAAGTTTCAGGAAGAACATGGCAACAATGTCAAAATATGTGAAAAAGGGTCAGCATTATTCTGAAAGGCAGCATGATGGGGTAGGAAAAGCCCCAGCTTTGGATCACATGGACCTGAACGCTATCTAACCTTGGCACACTAGCTGGGTGAACGCGGCAGCCACTGAATCTCTCTGAGTCTCAGCTTCTTTATCTATAGAACGGGGAGAATGACATACGATTCACTGGGGATTAACTGAGAAGACTTGTAAGGTTCTTTTCTTTGTAAGTTATTGGGTGTCTTCCATTGGTTGGTTCGTTCAATCCTCAGAGTAACTCGAAGGCACTGGGAGGTTGGGCCTCGCCCTCGGGCTGAGTGGGAAGAGGCAAAGCAGGAATCTGGTTCCAGGCTGGACTCCCAAACCCAGGCTCCGAACCGCCACACACTATTCTGGCCTTCCATGCATAATGCCACCGCCCTGAGTCTGCAGCAGCAGCAGCAGCCAAGGCCCAGGGAGCCCATGAGAATGAGGGGAGCTGGTGCAAACCACCATTCGTACCCGAGGTTGGGCCCGGAAGATACCAGCTCAGGCCAAGAGGCTGCACCAGGTAGCCTGAAGGGGGGCCTCCCCGGACGCCCAGAGTCCTCACTCTTAAAAAAGGAAATGGCCCTGTTAAGTAGCAATGCATGGAGAGCCTGCAGAAATGCAACCTACTTCCCTGCAGTTGTAGCAGAGGCAGCAATGAGTCTGTTCTCTTGGGTTCACAGGAGGCAGGTCTCGTAAGTCATGAGTGCTACCCCCTTGGCTTAAAGGTCTTGGGTCCCAGGGATGAGGGACTTGCCACCCTCCTCAAGCGCTGAAAGTCTGGCTGAGACAGTCCTAGCAGGCCTACGACAGTTCTCATTCTCTAAAAGGGTGGCTGGGGATTTTATTTCTTCAGCCTGCTTAAGCCAGCCACCATCACAGCTGGGAGCTGCTGGTCTGCTCCGTGTGACCTGGGCCCAGGCTGGGAGGAGGTGGTGCGGGTGGGGAGCAGGGACAAGGAGACAGAGAGCAGGCTTCAGCCTGGACCCTGTCAGCCTGTTCTGGCAGATACGTCGGGTCACTCTGGGCACACAGGCCTACCCTGGCTGCCTGAGGTGCCGTAATTTAATAAGCTTCTGAAAGCCTAAGAGACGGTGGGAAATGTGAGAAGGTGACAGGGCGGCCTACGCGAGTCAGTGCTGCTTCTGCCTGCGCAGATGCAGAGGGCAGCAGGCACACGGGTTCTCTGCGAGGAGTGTGCCCGACACAGGGCAACACCCTGGCCCGCGAGGAAAACTAGGCTGTCGCGGAAGTTCCTGTTGGTGCGGGGCCGACCTCCTGACTCCCAGCTGTTTAAGACACACAACTTGGACAAGCGGGGAGTGTTCTTTCTCCCTATGTTGGCGGTGCCGCTGCAGAGAGCGCCCGCAGAGCCCCAGGGACACGTGCAAGTCTGACGTGAGAGACCTCCGACCTCTCCAGATACTTGCACTCTATCTTCACTATCTTCACAGATTCTATCGCTCGTTTTATCTTCTTTTATCCTCTCTGTTCAGTGAAAAAATAAACCCCTCAGAAATGCAAATCATCACTTCCCTTCACCTCCCTTCTTCCCAAGTGCACACAGCATGGTGCTTCCACCAACGATAGACAGACCGCGAGGATGGGGCACGGTGGGAGCTGCCAGCTTCCGGCCCACCCTCCCCATCCTCGTCTGGGAGGAAGGCGGAGGGCCGATCTCCCAGGAAGAGCCCACCGTGCACTTAGGCAGCCCCATGTCCTTGTGAGGGACATTCCTCTGCCTCAGGACACAAGACTGCTTCCTAAGAGCAGGTTTGAGGGCGGCTTTCTGGTCCCTGTTTCACCGGGGGCTATGCCTGTGAGGCAGACTCGGGCTCTCTCTGTACAGCCACGAGTGCGCCGTCTCACGCTAAAGGCAGGACCCAAAAGTTGGATGTAGGTTCAAGCAGCATTCTCCAAACCAAGAAAAGGTTTGGGAGGAGAGAACTTTGGGTACGTTTGTGATCGATGAAATGCAAAGGGGATGCAAAGGAGAGGGGATGCTACTGGCAGGTTCTCTTAAAATGAAACTCACTTGAAATCCCCTTATTTCCCAGAACCACCAACACTTCATTCTACTAGTAACATCCTAACTCTTTTTTTTTTTTACCATTTGAAACTTAAGAGTACATATAGAAGACACTAGATTTGTAGCTTAAAACTGAGGGTCAAAATGAATTTTCAATTAATGAGGAACAGTCTGTCTGTTTCATTTACTATCCCCTCACTTTTACTACTTCCTCCAGAAAACTGTTTTGAGAATGCTGTTTCTTAAGGTTTCCAAACTGGGACATGTCTGTCAGGCAGGGGGTTCCTTTAAGTACACTGCAGATTGTTAGGCCAATTTCCTACCCGTGTAGCCCTTCCTCCTGTCAGTGATCCACTAGGCAACCTGAGGTTTGTGACACGCACCAGCTGCACGCGGCCACCGGCCTTGCACCGAGCGCGGCTCCGGCTGCGCTCCCAGCACAGGGCGAGGCCCGGCAAGAGCAGTGCCTGCGGCCGCCCTGGGGCCCTCCTGACATGAGAGCGGCTGAGAGAGAGGCAAAACTGACCTCTAGTTTCTGAGAATCACCCTGAATGAGTCTCCTTTCACACTGGAGTGCTAAAAAAATAAATTAACTGAAAATATAACTGAAATAAGATACAAATTGATGGGACAAGACATGGTTATAGAATTAGTTATTGTGTTCTAACTAAAACAACGTGCACTGAGCCCTTAAAACTGGAAGGAAAACAGGGTAAACTTTACAGAAACACATGAGTCGGGAACAGAAACATTATGGTAAATACACAACACCTAGAAAAACTCCAAATCCTGCTAAGCAGGGCAAGTCCTTCCCCATTTCAGCTGCCAACTCTTTTGGAACGCCTTCTGCCTGGGCTCGGCCCTGGTCTCTCACCTGTGGAACTGGCCCTGTCTGAGAGGCACAGGGACGTGCCAGTGGGCCAGGGGCCGCCTGGGTGGTGGAGAAGACTGCGAGCTGGAGAAGCGAGGCTGCTGGAGTGGAAATGATGGTGAGGGTTATCGAGGGAATGGATGGGATGGGCACTAATCACAGCTGTGAATGAACACAAGACAGAGAAATGCTTAACATGCTTGCACAGACACACACAAATCACAGTTCAAGAGCAAAGCCCTCCCCCACCCCTACCCCCCGCCCCGGTGAGGCCATGCCCTGGGGTTTCCTGGGGCGGCTGGCTGGATGTGGACAATTAGCCACAGATTTTACATTTGTTTTAAAAAAATCAACAGACTCTTGTGCATATGCCTGCCTATCTACACGCAGAAAAAGAAGTCTGAGGAATATGTGCTAACATGTTAAAGGCGATCACCTTGTGGGGAAGAGTGATCAGGATGAAAACATCTTTTACTTTTGGTTTATTGTTCTGCAATAAACATGGATTATATGAGTTTTAAAAGTCTATCCAAGTATGTCACATAATATAAATCCACAAGAAACAATGACTTAGGTTTCTATAATTTTTTCCTGCTAAAGGGATGTTAAATCCCTTCTCTTTCACATATACACCTAATTCATTCTGTCTTTTTTACTTGTTACATGAAGCATGCAATAGGTATGTAGGCTGAATGGATGAGCATCTGTCTAATCAGTTTTCCTATCTTAAAAGAAATGCACATGGACCGGACGCTAAGGGTCCGATCGGGCACTAAAAGCTGGAACTCAGGCCTGTGGTGCTGTGTCTTCCAGCCCCAGACTGGGGGCTCAGCCACAGCCACTCCCACTTGGGAATGAATATACGCAGAGCTTTCCTAACTGGCTTGTTCCTCCTCACACTGGCTAAGGAATTAAATTGGCTGCATTCAGCCAACAAATCCAAATTTCCACCCAGACATTCCACAATCAACTTCCTATGAAGGAAGCACTTATTTACTGAAGCTTCATTATCGATCCCAGAGAGGGAAAAAAAACCAGAAGCTCAGCTCGGGAATTCTCTTTAGAGGATTTGTAGAAACGTTTAAGATCAAGATAACCTGCTCGAAAGCCCCCAAATAGGCAAATAGGTAGGGGTGACTAGGAACACAGGGGACCTTTTATTCTTTAAGCAAGGGCCTCGTGTGCTTTGTGATAAACTTAATTAGCCTCCGGAGTCTATGAGGATGTCTTCTGGCACTGTGGATTTCCCTGGATCTTTGGGGGCCACTCCACAGCACCCTGGTGAAGGGCATCCCAGCCAATAAAACAAGACACCTTTCTTCTCCGGCTACCTCCTGTCCCGGCCACCTGCAAATAAACGGGTGACACAGCCAACTAGGGACCCTGGAGTGTCACTGCTCCTCCTTAAGGTCTGGGGACATCACCGGGACTTCCCCTGCTCAGGGACCAGAGGCTCGGGTGGTCCTCTGGAATGAAACACATCTTGGAAAAGCTGGCTGAGGAAGGTCTGCAGGGTAGTTTGCAAGTCAGTGTCTCCTCTTGGGGAAGACCAACGGTTTTTAGAAGTAGGGCTTCAGAGCCAGTGTTTTCCAGAATTAAGGCTGGGATGAAGGGAATAAGTGTCCTGATTTTTACCTATCTGAAAGCATTCTAGGTAGAGAGGACTCTCACAAAAGAAAAACCGTAATTGACTTTCTCTTTTTTTAAGGCACTTCCAGTCTTTTCAAATGAAGTAAGTAAGATACAAGACAATGTGAAAGTGCCTGCCTAGAAGAGACGCCCATCATTAGCTGCTGGGGGAATCAGGGTCTGATGCTGCTGGGCAAGGCTTTCCTAGCTGCGCTCAGCTGTTTAATTCAGGGTTAGAGCAGGTGGCTGGAGGGTCGACTCGACCTGCTTGGGGAAAAGGGTACCTCCAAACCTGAAGATCAAAGTATTCCAGGTACCTGGTTTCAGATCCTTAAAGGTTCCACTTACCCACCCAACTACTGAGGTACAAATGAAATAATACTGTAAACTTATGCAATCTCCTCCACCTCTACAACCACCAAAGAAAAAAAGGAATGATATCAACTGGTACAGTATGTCTTTCCCTCTTAACATATTTAAAACCATCAAATCCAGGAATAGGAATAGTCAAATTCACAAGTTTTAAAAATAAGCCAGTAAGGTAAGACCTAAAGTCTTATACAAAACAAACAAACAGTAAAGCTACTATCTTATAAGTCAAAAGGAACTAGAATAAATTAATTGTTTTTGGACATTTGTATTTTTAAACCTGGGGACTCTGTTACAAGTGGGAAACCATGGTTTCTCCCCCAACACTTGCAAGTGCGGGCCCCTAAGCAGAAGGTACTTTGTGCCAAAATGACCTATTCCTGAACTGCCCCTTCCTCCTCCAAAGCTGACTTTGAAAATCCAGAGCCCACAGTGTTTGTGCCCAGTGAGTGAGTATGACAGAGTGTGTGCACGGAGACACTTACATGCTCGGGGGCCCCCCATCCCCAAGTACAGGGTGCCACGGCGCACCCGCGTGTGCGTAGAAACCTGTGATTATTTAAACCTCTGGCACCACTGAGGTGGCTGGAGTTCTGAAATGGGACATCTTTTAAGAAATAAATAAGCAATTCAGAGGCTCATTTAGGTTAAGTTGGAAAGTGATCCTTCAGGATCTGATGCTCTCAGTAGTTGAATCTGGGTGTCTGAGGGGGTCGCGGCCCCACTGCCCAGGTCAGAGCAGGCGCTGCAATGTCAAGTAGCTGATGAAACTGGATACTGACAGGCAGGTGGCGTCTCCCCATTCTGGGATGGTGCAGGCACCACGGTGCCCGCTGGTCTGAAAGGCTTAGTTTGAAAAAAAAAAAGGGACTCCTCCATTGCTTTTTTGGCTTTCAATTATGATATTTAACTTATTTTGCATTTCGAATATTACTACAGGTGGTTGGGAAACTTTTATGCTTATCAGAGTGAGGCCCATGGGTCAGACAATATTGAAAATGTTCCTTTAAAAACTCTATACTGTCAACTTTAGACTCCTCTAAAAATAAAATCTACTAATTAAAAAAATTCCCACAGGTGCCTGTCAACACTGCACCTGTGTTAGGAAGCTGGACTGACACCTGGCTGTCCTCCGCCCCGCCCTGGACGGGGCTCCCCCATCTCTCCTGCAGAGATGCTATGCACATTCAGGGGGACTGGTTACCTCCCTGTCCTGGGAAACTGGGAAATCGGCTTTTTACCTTCTTTTCCCTATAATTAAAGAAGCTAGTCTCAATAACATTAATTACAAAATATGGCAACTCTCCGATACTTCTCCCCTCAAGCTGCCAGAGCCCTGGTAGATTATCTTCTGGGCCAGGGTCAAGGGAAGCGGAAGCGGCCGTCCACAGCTAGGCCCCGGTATGACCGAACAGACTGGCAGCACTAGAGAAGAGAGACACTTTCCACTTACGCTGGGGCGGCTGGGAGTCAAAGGGCATCATCATTTTTGGTCTCATTCCCCGCCTTCCAGCCAGTGTAGACATGCTGTCCTCTGATTCATGCCCTAGACGTCAAATATGAAAGTTGGTTAAAAGTGTGTCCCGTGGGCCGCTGAGAAGGCTCAGCAATAAAATACTTCCAGTGGGGTATTCACAAACCAGAAAATGGGGACAAGGTGTTTCTGCAGGAAGTGAAATAAAGAGGGCAGTCATCGCTAGTGCGTTACAGGAGTCCCTCTGAGAGTCAGTGTGGCTGACACAATGCTGACCACCACGCTTCAGCCTGGCGTCTGTAAGAGCATCCAGACCAAGAACATTCTGAACAATGTCAGCTGGACTCCAACTGAAGGGACAGAACAAAATGCAGAGACAAGGGCGAGGGTCTCAAACGTCTGAGTAGCAAGGGGGAGAGCCCAATGAGACCCAAAAGGTGTCTTATCTGGGTACAAACCCTGTGTCCCACAACAAGCTGGCTATTCCCCATTAGATGTTGACGAAATCCCAAAACACACACTTCTTTCAATCTCAGCTCATATAGGAATCACCAAATTTAAGGCACTGTGATGAAATAAAAAATGATTTAAATGAAAATAGTCTCCCAGCATTTGGGGAAAACCTGTACCTCTGTATGAATTCCGCCTTTGATGGATGTTGCCGTCCATGGAATTGTCAGCTGGTGTGACATCTTGAGAGTTACGAGGAATTGGAGTATCAGTCATGATGGGGTTCGGGTCTGGAGACTTGTCGATGGGTTTCAGCTCCAGCCTCTCATGGTGGATCCAGAGGTCTGGGGGTTTGACATCTTTGGAGTTGCCTTTGTACTTGTGGGAGCCATTCACTGACTTACAAGCAGCTCGTTTCCTAGGCACAAAAATAACAGGGTTTTTTCAAAAGTAACCGTTTTAAACATATTTATCAAAAGGTTTGACAAATTAAAACTGCCCTTCTGAAAGATGCTTCAAGGAAAGGCAGAACCAAAAACAAGAAAAACAGAGGCAAGCAGTTTACTTCTGGGAACAGTAAAGGCATCTCCTCTTTGTCCACATACATTGACATGTATGGGCAGGGGTGTATTTCAATACTGCCCTGTGACTTTGTTCTAGTATCAGGACATCAGACAGGACTTTTAAATCAAATAATCTCTACAGCAGAAGGTTCCCCCAGTCACAAGAGAAAGGACAACATTCACTAGAAGCAGAACAATACAGTGGAGGTAGTACTGATGGCTTACAAAGGTGGAGGAACAACATTTTATTTTATACTGTTGTTTATTTTTTAAATGAAATTTAGTGGGGGAAACACTGGTTAGTAACATTGTGTAAGTTTCAGGTGTACATCTTCCTAATACGACACCGACACCGTGCACTCTACTGCTCACCCCCGAAGTCGTCACATGCGACCCCCTCCCCCCATTCTCCCTTCTCCTGCCCGGGTTCCCCTCTGGTAACCAGCACGACGCTGCATCTGTGAGTTCGTTTATCTTCTTTGAGCACTTTAAGCAGCCCACACTGGGACTAACTGGGTCAAATCAGGAGTGCAGATGACAGTGTCCACTTCTCTGTGCCTTAGTTTCTCCATTAAGCCACTCACTCGCCCATTTAATCAGCATTTCATCGGTGCCCACTGGGTGTCAAACTGTGCGCCAGACCGCTGTACCTTCAGCACTTCCGGTTGAATGAGGAAGGGTGGGCACTGAATAATTATTTTAAAATTGTCTGAGTTTAACGAAATGCCAGAAACCACAAAACCAAATGCCAGTGTTACAGAAACCACTTAATAATATGCCAACTAACTGGACAACCTGGATAAAATGGATAATTCCTAGAAACATACAATCTTCCAAAACTAAATCAGGAAGAATCAGACCATCTGAGTAGACAGATTACACCTAGTGAAATAGAAGCAGTAATGAAAAAACTCCCAATAAACAAAAACCCTGGACCAGATGGCTTCACAGGTTAATTTTACCAGACATTCCTGTAAGTACTAATACTCTCCTCAAACTGTTTCAAAAAATTCAAGAGGAGGGAAGGCTTCCAAACTCATTTTTATGAGGCCAATATTCTCCTAATTCCAAAACCAGATAAAGACACTACAAAGAAAATTATAGGCCAATATCCCTGGTGAACAAGATACTAAAATCCTCAACAAAATATCAGCAAACCGATTACAGCGATGAATCAAAAAGATCAGACACTCTGATCAACTTAGATTTAGTCCAGGAATGCAAGGTTGGTACAACATTCACAAACCAATACATGTGATTCACCACATGAACAAAATGAAGGCTAAAAACCACATGATTATATCAATAGAGGCAGAAAAAGCATCTGAGAAATACCAGCATCTATTTACGATAAAAACTCTCAGCAAAGTGTGATTCGAGGGAACACACCAAAACATAATAAAGGACATATATACAAACCAAGCATTACACACAATGCGCAAAAACTACAAGCGCTTCCCTTAAGACTGGGAACAAGACAGGGATGTCCGCTTTCACCTCTCTTACTGGACATAATACAAAGTTCTAGCCACAGCACTCAGAGAAGAGGAGATAAAAGACATGCAAATTGGAAAGGAAGAAGTAAAATTATCTTTTTTTGCAGATGACAAGATACTGTACATAGAGAATCCCAAAGATTCCACCAAGAAAACACTACAACTGATAAATAAATTCAGCACTGTAGCAGGACACAAAATTAATATTCAGAAATAAGTTGCATTTTTAGACACAGTAATGAACAGAAAGGGAAATTAAGAAAATGATCCCATTCACAATCACTTTGAAAAGAATAAATACCTAGGAATAAATCTAACCACAGATGTAAAACACCTGTACTCAGAAAACTGTAAGACACTGAAGAAAGAAACTGAAGAAGATGCACATAAGCAGAAGCACATACTGTGTTCATGGACAGGAATAATTAACATCATAAAATGTCCATACTACCCAAAGCAATCTACAGATTCAATGCAATTCCCAACAAGATTCCAATGACATATTTCACAGAAACAGAACCAATATTTCAAAAATTTATATGGAACCACAAAAGACCCAGCATAGCAACAGTGATCCTGAGAAAGAAGAACAAAGCTGGAGGAATCATGCTACATAGTAACAAACTACACTATAAGGCCTTAGTAATCAAAACAGCATGGTCCTGGCATAAAAACAGACACACATCAATGGAACAGAATAGAGAACCCGGAAACAAACTCATACCTTGATAGTCAATTAGTATTTGACAGAGGAAGCAGGCACATACGATGGACTAAAGATAGTTTATTCAATAACTTGTGTTGGGAAAATTGGACAGATACATGCAGAAAAATGAAACTAGACCACCTTCTTACAATACACACAAGAATAAATTGAAAATGGATAAAGGCTTAAATGTTAGGCCCACAACCACAAAAACCGTAGGAGAAAACATAGGCAGCAAAATCTTGGACACTGCTTGTAGAAATATTTTATCCAATATATCCCTCCAGATAAGGAAAAAAAGAAAAAAAATAAACAAATGGGACTACACTGAATGAAAAAGTTTTGCACAGCAAAGGAAATCATCAACGGAATAAAAAGACGACCCACAGAATGGAAGACCATATTTGCTAATACATCTGATAAGGTGTTATTCATCTGAAAAGGGGCTAATATCCAAAATTTATAAAGAACTTACAAAACTCATCACTAAAAAACCCAAACAATCCAGTTAAAAAAATGGGCAAAGGACCTAAAGATACTTCTCCAAAGAGGACATACAGAGGACCTACAGACATATGAAAAGGTGCTCAATGTCACTAATCATCAGAGAAACGCAAGTTAAAATCACGAGATATCATCTTCACACCTGTCAGAATGGCTGTCATTGATAAATCAACAAACAGCAAGTGCTGGTGAGGCTGTAAGAAAAGAGGACCCTCACACACTGCTGACTGGTGCAGTCACTGTGGAAAACAGTACGGAGTTTACTCAAAAAATTAAAAATGGAACTGACTCTTGACCCAGTGATTCCACTTCTGGGAATTTATCCGAAGAAAGCCAAAATACTAATTCAGAAGAACATAAGCACTTCTGTGTTCATAGCAGCATTATTTACAATCCTCAAGATATGTAAACAGCCCAACTGTCTATCGGTAGATGAGTGGATAAGAGAATTCTGCGACAATTACACAATGAAATTCTACTTGGCCATTAAAAAGAAGAAAATTTTACCCTTTGTGAATATATGGATGGACCAGGAGAACATTATGGTAAGTGAAATAAGCCACTCAGAGAAAGACAAATACCATATGATTTCATTCATATGTGGAATCTAATGAACAAACTGAACTAACAAGGAAAACAGAGACAAATTCAGAACAAAGAGCAGGATGACAGCTGAGGCGGGGAGGGGGGGTCAGGAGGTGGAGGGATTGAGCAAACAGGAGAAAGGACTCATGGTCATGGACAGCCTGTGTGGTGACTGCTGGGCTGTAAGAGGCCTAAATGGCAATGGAAAAACTCATCAGAGTTTTTATATAATAAAAACTCTGCCAAAAAAGGGTTTTGTATAATAAAACCCATCAGAGTTTTATATAATAAAAAACCTGCCAAAAAAGGTAAAGAAAATTAAAAGATTCATCCTACATTTCCTGTAGAAATATTTAAAGAATCGCTTTTCATGTATTTATGTTTTAATTCTGTGTGCAACTCCAGATACTGAAGTCACATAGAAGCAAAAAATGAATATCAAAAATCTGTGGGCTAGATTTGGGGCTCCTAACTGTTTCTTTCTTTTAATCCTGACCTGAGGATATTTTTTCACTGCTTTTACAGAGAGAGGCAGGGAGAAGGCAGGGGAGAGAGAGAGAGAGAAACATCAATGTGAGGAACACTCACAGGCTGCCTCCTGTACGTGCCCTGACTGCGGTCTAAACCACAACCTAGGCATCTGACCTTACTGGGGCTGAACCCACAACTTTTCAGTTTGTGGAATAATGCTCCAATCAATTAAGCCACGCTGGCCAAGGCTGGGGCTCCTTACTTTTTCTGGTGAGAGGTGGTGCGCCTGGTGCAAAAGATAGCAATGATCACAACCACCACGATGGTGATGACCCCAACAGAGACGATGATGACCAGGAGCATATTACTGTCCAGAGGAGAGGTGGGGCTTCCATGGGGACTGTTACTACCTGAAGAGAAAAAAACAGCACGTTAGCTTAGAGAATTCTAGAAATGCACACAATCACGCTATATCGCCTTCACTGGAGTACAGACATGTCATGTGAGTTTCTAACTCATAAAAGTGTGTCATAAACATGGCTATCTCCTCTAGGTTATGAAATCCAGAAAGCTAAGTTTTGGCCCTATAAACATTTCTCAGCACAATACCTTACACAGCTGGTGTTTAATTAAAGCTTCTGAAATTATGCTGAACATCAAATGTGAAAATTAAGGATCTTTCCCTCTGGTGTTTTATACTGTATATAACTGGGTTTTATACAGCACCACTTGTATATCATTTAGGTTTCTGACCTTCAAAACTATTTTAAAATTGTACATTCACAGAAAGCAAAAGTTTTTCTCAAAATATGTCTGAGATCATAAAAGATTACTTTTATGATCATAAAAGAAAAATAAAGCCTCTGTCTTTATTAATTATAGTTTATGCAGAGTTAATTCTCTTTATTTCAGGAAAATGCAGCTCTGTATATATGCATTAATGAGAGGTTACTATGTTCTAAGCATTGTTCTAGGTACTAAGGATGAGGATTCAATGGTGAGTCACAAAATTATAAATGTTGGGGTGGGGGTAGGACCAAACAACAAATAACGAATCATCAGTAGTGAATGCTATGAAAAAAATTGAATGAGGGGTACAATACGGTGATTGGGTGGCTATTTTATATTGGGTGATTGTAAAAAGCTTCTTTGAGGAGACGGCATTTGAGCTGAGCTTTAAATGAAAGGAGAGATCCCACCTAACAAAGACATGGAGGAAAAGCACTGCAGAGGGAGGGAACAGCTAGTGGAAGCATCATAAGACAGGAATGAGCCTGGCGTGGTCAAACAGGAGAAAGGTGGCCACTGCTGTTTAAGCAAAGAGAGACATGCAAAGTACAGAGAAGAAAGTGAGCAGGAAAAAACAGAATGAGGCTGGAGAGTGTGCAGAGGCTATTTAGAGCCTTTAGGGCATTTCGATTTATTTTCTTTTTTCTTCTTTTTTATTATTTCCCCATTGCTTATAGGATGAGGTCCAAGCTTTTTATAGAGGTCTTCCTTCTGTGACCTAGTTCTACTCTAAAGTTCTTTTCTGTTTTCTGAACTGCTTCTATTTTCTGAATCATTTCCATTTTTGCTTCCAATCTCACCATAAAAGTTACGCAGCCTCATATTATAAAATATGGGAAACCCCACCACACAAATCTAATCGCCATGGATAATTGATATCTTTCCTTCTAGTTTTTTTCTCTCTCTCTCTCTCACCTTTCTAACAATTGGAGCTATACAGCAGTGGAATGCACTGCTTTACCAAATAATAAGTGTTCAGTCACTGAAGTACTGAAGGAGTCATTCTGCCAGTCTGAGATGTGGTAGGATAAATTCCTACCATGACGTATGGCTTGCAAAGCTATTTTTAGAAAAAGCTCCCAAAGTGATTTTCATATACACCCTGGTTTTTAAACTTAGGATCTAATCCAAACTATACTTATAGGGGAATCCCTCCCATAACATTGGATTAGCTTCTAGTTCTGATTCTATGCTTTCATAGACTATATCTAAGCAAAGTACAAAATCTGGGCTGATTTAGGAAAGCTTAAGAGTTTATTATTCTCCATTTGATACATTTTTATTCTTCATATCTGCGAAAAAAGTAAGCAGAGAGACAATACAAATTCTGTATACTGACCTTTACTAGAGTAATATTTTAAAAAATAAAATAGACTTCTGGTCAAGATGGAGGAGTAGGTAAACCATGCTTTACTACCTCCTTGCACAACCACAGAAAGAATTACAACTAGATCTCAAAACGAGTAATAACCTGAACCATCAGATAATCAAGCTGTATGGAAATCTGATAATCAAGAATTTTAAGAAGCCACATTCATCCAGACGGGTGCCTCTTCTACATGAGGCCTCACTACTAAGACAGGGAGTCAAAGCAGCTCTACCTAATACACAGAAACAAACACAGGGAAGGTCCCAAATTCAAAAGACAAAGAAACATGGTTCAAATGAAAGAAGAGAACAAAATCCCAGAAAAAGTACTAAATGGAACAGAGACAACCACCTATCTCAAAACACTGGTGATCAGGATGCTCAGAGAACTCATTGAGTTCTCTGCAAACAAAATAAACAAAAGAACCAGGAAGAAATAAAAGTTATACTAAGTGAAATAAAGAAAAATCTACAGGGAACCAACAGCAGAGGGGATGAAGCCGGGACTCAAATTAATGATTTGGAACATAAGGAAGATATAAGCATTCAACCAGAACAACAAGAAGAAAGAATAATTTTTAAAAAGCCCCAAAACCAGCCCTGGCTGGTGTAGTGGATTGAGCACAGGCCTGTGAAGCAAAGGTTCGCCAGTTTGATTCCCGGTCAGGGCACATGCCTGGGTTGCAGGCCAGGTCCCCAGTAAGGGACACATGAGAGGCAACCACACATTGATGTTTTTCTCCCACTCTTCTCCTTCCCTTCCCCTCTCTCTAAAAATAAATAAATAAAATATTAAAAATAAAATAAAAAGCCCCCAAACCAAAAAACACGAGGATAGTAAGGTGTCTCTGGGACACTGCCAACCATACCAACATCCAAGTCATATGAATGCCAGAAGGGGAAGAGGAAGAGCAAGAAACTGAAAACTTATTTGAAAAAAGAATGAAAGGAACCTTCTCTGATTTGGTAAAGGAAATGGGCATACAAGTCTAGGAAGCACAGGGAGTCCCAAACAAGTTGGACCCAAAGAGGACCACAATAAGGTGCATCATAACTAAAATGCCAAAGGTTAAAGATAAAGAGAGAATCTTAAAAGCAGCAAGAGAAAAGCAGATGGTTACGTAAAAAAGGAGTTCCCATAAGACTGTCAGCTGTTTTCTCAAAAGAAACTTTGCAGGCAAGAAGGGGCTGGAAATAAATATTCAAAGTGATGAAAAGCAAGGACCTCCATCCAAGATTACTCTATCCAGCAAAGCTATCATTTAGAATGGAAGGGTAGATAAAGTGTTTCCCAGACAAGGTAAAGCTAAAGGAGTTCATCACCGCCAAGCCATTACTACATAAAATGTTAAAAGGGACTTATTTAAGAAACAGATCAAAACTATGAACATTAAAAGGGCAACAAATTCACAACTATCAATAACTGAATCTAAAAAACAAAATAAGCATACAACCAGAACAAGGACAGAATACAGACATGGAAATCTTGGGCAAGTTATCAGCTAGGAGGGAGAGTGGGGAGAATGGGGGGAAGGTACGGGGAATAAGAAGCATAAATGGTAGGTACAAAACAGTAAGGGGGAGGTTAAGAATAGTGTAGGAAACAGAAAAGCCAAAGAACTTACATGCATGACCCATGGACGTGAACTAAGGGGGGGGCGGAATGCTGGAGGGCAAGGGGATATTGGGTGGAGTAAGGCAAAGGGGAAAACTGAGACAACTGTAATAGCATAATCAATAAAACAGATTTAAAAAACAAAAATAATATTTTGACATATGGCAAAGACTACAGAACTAGGAGTCAATAAAACGAGACTGTATTTAGGCTTTACATGAACCTTTACTAACAACGGTGCAGAGCTACTGGGGAGGGTATACAGCAGGGCGGGCACTGAAATGAGAGGCTGGGAGTTCTCAGGGGTTGGGAGGAAAGCAGAGGTGGGGGTGGTTCCTCTTCGCATTCAACACAGGCTAATTCTCACTTGACTGTCATTTGACCCCCAACTGTGAGCTGGCCGAAATCTCCCTTCTAAGAAAAAGAGTGAGTGGCCAAAGGGAACATTACCCCTTCTACCAGGGACATTATGATAGGCCATTTCTTAAGCCTCATCTGAACTATTTCAACAGCTTACTAACCATTTTTGGACTTTATACTCTCACTCCCAACTCGTTCTTCACTGTCTACTAGTAGTAGATACTCAATAAATGGAAGTCAGAGTTTACCACTATCAGACATCTTACACGTGTTACTGACAGGATAAAGCTCACATTTCTTAGCACGGGTGCTTGAGCTTTTGAGAGGCTGGTTCTAACCAATAACCAACCTTCTCTAACCTGAGAATCTCTATCCTGCCTCCAGGCAGTGTAATCCCCCTGGAAAGCAGGTTGTTTTATATGTCCATGCCTTGGCACATGCTGTTTTTGCTTCCTGGAACGTATAAACCCCTCTGTGACATTTAGTAATCTCCTATGCACCATTTAAAATCTGGGTCAGCCCTGGCCAGGAGGCTCAGTTGGTTGGACCATTGTCCCATACACCAAAGGTTGTGGGTTCAATCCCCAGTCAGGGTGTGTCTAAGAGGCAACCGATCAGTGTTTCTCTCTCACACTGATGTTTTCTCTCCTCTCCGACCTTTCTTCTCTCTCTAAAACCAATAAGCATATCCTTGGGTGAGGATTTAAAAAAGGATCATATATCACATCTTCTATAGAGCTTTCCCTTTTCTCTATGAGGTAGTTTGTTAATCATTTCTCCTGTTCCCATGGCCTAATATATAAAACCTGAGCCTTAAAAAATGTGTGAATGAATGAATGAATGCATTAATAAAAAAGATACAAAGAAATAATTACTTTTTTCACAACCTTGAATAATGTATTGTGGACAGCAGATAAATGTAACATATGTAGCCCAAGAAAGTGAAAGTCCTGGAACTCAGACACGAAAAATTCCTTGAAGCACGCAAATTTGTCTCACTGTCCTAAGAACTGGCTGATTTCACTGAAGTCTGAGCAGTATCACTTTTTATTTAAACAGATAGCTAGAGATTAAGCAATCATTTTATTTCCACACTCAGAGGAGGAGTTTCCAGAGGACAGGCACTCCTCACTGGCAGGGGTAGACACAGCAAAGGTTATTTCTAATCGCTACTTGTACGGATTTTCACCAACACCAGATTTACTCTGTGTGTAATAGTGGGAAAGGCACAACGAGATGTCAGAAGACCTAGGTTTTGGTTTTAGGACTTCCCTAATTAGTGGTGGGCCCAGGCACATTGTATCTCCACTACGTCTCCTAAGGTTTAAAGTGGGAGTGAGGAGATCCAAGATGACTGCAGAGAAGGTGGAAGCTGCATTAACCTCCTCCCAGGACCACACAGGAATTACACCTAAATTATACAAAAATCATTCTGAATAACCAACTGAACACTAGCTGGAGAGAAGCCTTATACTCGAAGGCACCACAGTAACACTGGCACGGAGTGCAGAGGTACGAGAGGGCTGGCTGGGCTCCCATGGGCAGCAGCCGAAGTTCTGGAGCTGGAGGGTTCCCCCTGAGAAGTGAGGGGTCTAAATCCCCAAATGGGCTCCACAGCCTACAGCACCAGAGCCAGATGGAACCCAAATAACATTTGACTGTGAAAAACAGCGGAGTTTCTGTCTGCTGGGGGGGAGACAGCTGGAGATGCAAAGAGCCACTTAAAAGGTCAACACACAACATTTTGTTTGCAGCCACTGACTCTGAGCTCAAGCAGAGGGAGGGCAGAGTGGACTAGAGATGCATGAGGAGAGTCTGGGACAGACTGCTCTGAGGAGAGAGCTGAAGGGTCAGCTACCAGGATCCCAGTGCTGAGCCATTCCTCATACTGCAGGAGCCAACTTTCTCAGGCAAAGCAGTCCCCTCCAAGTGGCAACAACCTAGCAGGAAGCAATAGCCCCATCCTGCGGAGCTTAAGCCCAGCTGAGGAGCACAGCGGAGGCTATTTCAGTGATTAAGCCTAACAGAAAATCTGCAGGATCCATCAGAAGATGGATCTCTGGAAGCTCTGAGACATTAGCTGACCCTCCCCAAGGCCTGGTGCTGGTAAAAGCTGGCCTTGGTGAGCAGCTTGGTCTTTACACATGCACCCGGGCCCAGCAGAGGGAGCCACAAGCTGTGGATTGCTCATAGCTCCAAACAGGATGCCCAGGTACGGTCACAGGCAGAGTCTGACACAGGCCTACACCAGAGTCTTTGCAGATTTACCAAATACATAGGAACAAACACAATATAAAGACAAAGAAAGGCACCAAATGAAAGTACAAGAGAGTTCTCCAAAAGAAGAACTAAATGAAATAGAGGCAAGCAATTTATCAGATACAGAGTTTAGAGTAATAATTGTAACAATGCTCAAAAGGACCAGTCAGAAATAAAGAATCCAGTACTTGAAATAAAAAATACAATGGAAGGAATAAACAGTAGGTTAGATGAAGCAGAAAATCGAATCAAGTATTTGGAACCAGGGTGGGAAAAAACACCCAGGCAGACAAACAAAAAGAAAAAAAATATTTAAAAATTAGGAGAGTTTAAGAAATCTTTGGGACAATATTTGCATCACAGGAATACCAGAAGGAGAAGAGAGTGAGCAAGGGAATGAGAACCCTTGCTCCATTGCTATTTGAAAAAGTAAAGACCGAAAACTTCCCTAATGTGGTGAAGGAAAAAAGACACACAAGGCCAAGAAGTACAGAGAGTCCCAAACAAGTTGGACCAAAAGAGGCCCACAACAAGATGCATCATAGTTAAAATGACAAAGCTTACAGACAAGGAGAGAATCTTAAAAGCTACAAAGAAAAGCAGTTAGTTACCTACAAGGGAGCTCCCATTAGACCGTCAACTGATTTCTCAACAGAAACATTTTGGGCCAGAAGGGACTGGAATGAAATATTGAGGGTGATGAAAAGCAAAGACCTATAACCAAGGCCACTTTAGCCAGAAAGGCTATCATGTAACACTGAAGAAAATTTTACCCTTTCTGAAGGCACGGATGGTTTAGAGTAATGATTATGCCAAGTGAAAAAAGCCATTCAGAGAAAGACAAATACCATATTGATTTCACCCATATGTGGAATCTAACAAACAAACTGAACTAGCAGGCATAACAGAGACAGACTCGTGGATAGAGAGAGTAGGCTGATAGCTCTTGGATATTTAGGCAGTGGACTGGTCAAGCAAAAAATGAAAAAGTACTCATGGACATGGACCACAGTGGGATCACTGCAGAAGAGGTGAGTATAAGGGGAATAAATTATAATGAAAAAAATGCAATAAAAATAAAATTTTAAAAATGGGAATGATATCTGTTCCCCAAAGTTCACAGTGATTTCATGTCTGTAAGTAACATACAAATAGTGAATTTCTGTAGGAGAATAAGTGCCATCATTTAAGTAACAGAAGGCACTAGCTCTTAGAATGGCTGCAAATGTGGGGAAGAATTTTTTAGAATTCTCAAACTAAAAACACTATGGTAAGTAGTTTAGGGAGAAATTAATGATTCCAAAGCATTTATTTGGCTTGGGTGATGGCTAATTCCACTAGATGGTTTATTTTTGAAAACAATATTCTGATTCTTTTCTAGAGGCAGTGGGCAAAAAAAAAAAAAAGACTTGTTTATTTAGAATTAGTCTTATTTTAAGTTGGATATGTGGGGAAACAATTTTATTTATAAATCCTATAATAAATGGGTTTGCAGTAATTCAGTACTTACTTGCCAGATAAATGCCAAAAGCTAACTCTATTAAATAAAGGAAATAGGTAACATTCTACAATCACCGCACACAAGCTACAAAGGATGTTTCAGGATGTAAAGCAGAACTGCATCGTGTCTGTGAGCAGGTGGACAGGGCTGCAGGAGGGGCTTTACCGCTCATTGGAGGTTTGTAATCAGGTCCTAGGTCTGGCATCCGGCTTCCTTTTCCTGCAGACCCTGACGCTGAGGGAGAAAGAAAATCACGTCAATAGCGATCCAACCCACGGGTCTGACAGGTCCACTTCACAGCTAATGAGTGTTTTCTACAAAAAAATATTTTCAGTCTACTTTGTTCATGAGAAAATGAAGTAACACATCAACAACAGGGGAAAATATAGTCTATCTGTGCAAAGCAAGCTGAGGTATAGCTTTCTATGCAATGAGGCATCTGAAAGGCTGACACCCTTTCCATGGCTGTATCTAGCGTGTAACTCGACTGCCACTCGTTGCTAATGGGGGGCACTGGGGGACACATGCCACTTCTCTAGCCCAGGAAAGAGTTTTTGAAAAATGGCTCAGAGAACTTATGCAAAATAGCTTCCCTTGGAAAAGGAACCACGAAGACTGGTTTGGTTTTCTTCTGCGATAAAGAACCGGACTCTTCCAAGGGCCTAGCAGGGACTGGACTCTTTTCTCAAATTTATCTAGTTGTCTTTCCCTCAGGAGGAACGGGAAGGCAAGTGGAAGTCCACACTGGGGTCACAGTTCCTGCTCAGTAATCTGAATATGGTCTTGAATTGGTCTTGAATTTTGTTCTTCACATTTATAGAAAAAGCTGCTTGGGTGAAGCAAATATGCTGGGGTAAAGCAAATGCAAGGAGTCCTTTCCCAGTAAAGCAAAGGCATCCCTCCACCCAAAGTGTGGGGCCAGCGAGCAGTACCAGACCTCTCTGTGCGGGTCAGGAAGAAGCGCGGAGTGAGAGCTGCTGCTCACCAACCGGTGCTGAGCAGACTGTCCGCCCCTGCACAGCGGCCCCATCGTGTGCTGCTAACAGGTAAGTAACCTGACTTCCGGCAAGTCATTTAATCACTGCACACTTTTTGGATTTCTGTTACCTCATTATAAAACAGTAATGGTAATGGCATGTACTTTGTGAAATCGTTGTGAGGATTAGATGGAAACTTAAGTCTGTGAAAGACTCTGAGTGGTGCCTGACACACAGTGAGCGTCCCATAAACACGGACACTGTTGTTACAGGCGTGATAAAGCTTTCTCTCCAGAGGCAGAGGCATGAAGCTTCAGAAAACACTTTTAAATGAGTCATTTCTATAAAGTAAGCTTGGCTACAAATTCCTAAACTAGATGTGTTTCTATAAAACATTAGAACTGATGTCAAGTGCTTCTATAAATTATCAGACTTTGAGGAAATGAAAAATTAAAATCTGAAATTTCCTGTATGTAGTTCATTTAACAGAATAAATCAGAGACAAAAAACAATGTTTTCTATGTTTCCACAAGTTCAAAACTCCAAAAGGTGACCGAAGTTCTCGGGTACCCAGAAAGGCATACTCCAGAACACAGCTCACGGTCCTTTCCAGTTGCTCACACTTCTCACTCCTCCCCTCAGGTCTGTGGCTGTGACTCCCCCTGCCGGCACACCCACACATCCAGGTTTCGGCTGTTCTCTTCACTATGATAAAGTCTAGTCGGTGGGATGACCTAGCACTTGTGAGGTTCTACATGTTTACATGTACTTATTTGTCAGGTAGTCCACATTTAGCCAATCTCTTCAGAGTATCATATTATGTAAATAATTGCCAAAGAACACACTTTGCTAATAAGCTAGTGGGTTTAATTCCTATATTTCCCAACATTTTTTCTTTTAAAGTTAACCTACAGACAAGAAATTTCAAGGATTAACCAAACACCACAAATAAATATGGACCAAGAGCTTTGAACACAGAGCTGTGGTGCAGCTCACGCTTGTTCTCTGGCTCACGGAGTGGAGCCGAGAAGGACAGTGAGCATGTCTGTATTCTGTGCACATGCAGGATGGTGTTTTTCTTTTTTCACGCTTCCTCCCTGCACCCCCACGTACAAAAGAAAGCTGGCAGTTTCTCTGAAGTACTGTACAATAAATGACTTATTGTAAACAAATTTCTAAAGCCCTAAAACTTGAAACCTCAAGTTCTGTCTCTTCTTGCCATTGACCAAGATCCAAAGACTTTGTATTTCTAATAACTTCCTAAACTACAAAAGCAATCGTCCAATTTACTTTTATTGTTCTTTCTTAGTACAGAAAACAGACACCAACTTTGGCTGAATTGCCAGAGATGACGATCACAAAACACAGTTACCCTCCACCACAGCAATTACGGTGAGAAGACCTCACTGACAGAGAACTTCAAGAACGGTGACACTGAGACCCATGCTTCCTAGGTATCGATTTCATTTTTTTTCTGTTCTTTTTAAAAGGGAGCAGATATATTTATGTGGAAAATGGAAAAGGAACTCTGAATTAAGCTTACGATAAAAAAATAAATGGCACCAATTTTGTCATGAATAACCAGGTTGGCAGGCTAAATTCGTAGATGCTTTGTGGGAGGAAGAAAATAGGGTTCGATTACAACTTTTTACTTAGAGATGCTAATAAAACCCCAGATGCTACAAATTTTGTACGCTTGCTCTCATCATGCCCGGAATTGTTACAGAATCTCAATATGTCAGTGCTAATGGGACTCACGCTTAAGGCCAGTCTCCGACAGCTGCGGGACTCAGTTTATTCTGCTCAATTTTCCTCCCTGTCAGTCTGCTCAGCTCCCAGCTTTTCAGATACCCCAGTGCCACAGACATGGACTCAACTCCACTTTGGCCAATAAATAACATGGTTTTTCAACACATGGTACTGGTTTGCAGGAAAAAAACAAAAACAAAAACAACAAAAAGCTAATAATAGGTCACAAAAGAGAGGAAAAGAAAGAGGCCAACTACTCATTTACCTTGATCATTAGGCATTTTATCAGAGGAGTCCGCTAACAGGCCAAGCACAGGGGAAGAAAAAACAAGAGCAAGGATCACAAGCTTTGAAGATGGGACACACATGATTTCTAAAGGAAAAAAATAAAGCCCCACAAACTTCCAAACAGATTGAGGTGGGTTTTTTTTTTTAAAGAGAAACCTGGATGTGGTTTCTGTATTTCCAGAGACTCAGTTCCCGACTCCATTTTATTCCTAAACTCAGGTGGTTCAATATTTTATCTTTACTTTCTTATCTAGAGTTTCTTTAATGGGCCCCTTTTAGTTTTTCTCTCTACAAAGGTCTAAAACAAGCCTTTCAAGTTAGGAGCCTGCATGTGTTGAAAGAGAATCATCTATCACAATATGTTACTTTGTACAGGAAAAGAGAGTCACACCTGATCTGACTATAAATAGCTTCACGTCATGACCTCAAACAGATGGGAGTCAGAGTTCCCTTCTGTCTGATCCGGTCAGGCTAGCGACCTGGCGAGCACCAATCTGGTGGGCAACGGTGAATGAGGGATCGTTTTGAGATAAATGCACACAGTGTGGCTCATCATAAGGACTTTGCGTAATATCCGTGGTCTCGACATGCTGAGGTGATGCGTGCAAGCACAGCCCCACTGAAGACACACTACATACCGCGCTGCGGGGACCCTCACCTTTAGGGGTTCTGAACTGGACAGCTTCAGACATGGGGCCCATGCCCTTCGAGTTCCGAGCCTGGATTTTGAAGTAGTACGGTGTGTCCAGTGTCAGCTCCTGTATCTGGTGCGTCAGCCTGTTGCCCACAACGGGCTCAATGACCCAGTCATGTATCTCTGCATTCACATCTGTGCTGTAATATATGATGTAGCCTGTCCAAAGCAGTTAATGGGAAAAGAAATCTTACTTCTGCTTCTTCTTTTGAAATGAGTAAGTTACATGTTACAGCACAAACAAGTAGAGAAACAGTTACGGATTAATCAACGGCAATGGTAAAATGCATTCGAATTGCTACACTAAGTATAATAGAGAAAAGCACAATTTACACAGTGCCGAGCTATCGGTTATCATCTATATCAGCCACTGAAGTAATAAAACTAATGAAAGATAGAAAACTTAGGGTTAAGTACCCCCAGAATCTAAGAAATCCTATAAGGAAAAGCATCCAATCACTTCAACATGTTAATATTTAAATAATGTACCTTCAATGGTCTATAATTAAAATAATACAGTTCTGAAAACCAATATATGGCCTACCATGCTGTTTTAGCTCTCACCAATGTGGTATCTCGGGAGAAAAACTCCTGGGAGACGGGCGGCACCCTCTGGTAAGTTCTCCCAGATTTGGGGCAACCTCAGTGAAATATCACCTGGTAACTTCCACTAGAGGGCACTCAATCTCCGCGGCGGAGGCAGAGAGGCCCACAACCACAAACCTACCTGACCCACACAGTGCATTTTTACTGGGGTTTCAAGGCAAAGAAAATGCAATGCAGGTCAAGTCATGATTGATTCTTTTATGAAACAAGAAATTCAAACCTAAAAAAAAAATCACAAAGACCACAAATTTATGGAAAGGAGTTTCTGAGTTTCTATTGAAAGCTGGAGCAGAACAATGCAAAAAACAAACCAAAAAAAGCTCCCAGTTTTCTTAGGCCAAGGAACTTCCTAAGACAAACTCCTGTTCCTCAGTGTGTATGTACATGGTACAGAGGCTCCAAGGGGAATAATTAACAGCTGAACCCCTTTCCTCCTTGATATGGCTGGGGACGGTGCAGTGTTCACTGGGGAAGGTTTTCCTATGGAAGGCTAGGGAAACAGTCAGGTGTTTTCAAAGGCCTAGGACAAGTCAAACCTTCAAGGGTTAGGTGGAGGAGCACAGGAAGCTGAAGCAGCAGCCCTGGAGGAGGAAAAGGAATTAAAAGTCCGACGGGCTTTTTTGGGCTTCAGGGTAAAAAGAGCAGAATCTGTTTACTGGGAGTTACCCTACAGAGTGAGATGGGGTCTTTAATTCTACAGCAGGTCATCTTAGTCCAAGGCAGAGAGGGCAGCTTTTCTGAGGAAAATAAATATGCCCATACAGCGTCACTACATCTAGAGGCTGTCTGTCTATTGCAACCCACGAACACCGAGCTGGTGACTCACTTTTATGTCACTGTGGGCAAACAGCAGCACCTGCCGTTCCACTTCTAAGGACCGCCATGACTCACAGCACCTCCTAAAACGGCCAAGCTGGCCTTCAGACTCCCACTCCTCCCAACAGCACAGGACTCTGGGGCGCTCCTGCCAGGCGGGAGAAGGGGACAGACACACATTCAAAGTCGTCTTACCTGTAATTTTGCCATTAGCTTCGGAGGGAGGCTGCCAATTCACAATGATGGTCCTAGGTTTCCCCTCTTTACTCACAACAGTCACGTCCTTGGGTGGAGAAGTAGGGACTACAAAATAAGGATACTTTCAGTAATTCCTGTCCTTTTCCATTTTATTTGCCACTTCAACCCTTTCCATTTATAAGGCAAAAAAGATAAAGCCTCCTTACTTCAAAGAACTCACAGTCCATCTATAAATAGCTCCAATAAAAAGATGAACATGCAAACACCGAAGAGAGAAGATCACACTGCGGGGTGACAGAACTGGCCTCTCAACTGGGGGTCAGGAATATATATGGTAAGTAGGCAGGGAGACCAAGCAGTACCTACCCACTCAGAAAATAAATATGGACATATGCCGGGCATTTATTTTATTGTTATTTTTCATCTTCACCTGATACGTTTATTAATTTGACAAGAGAGAAAGGGAGAGAGAGAAACATCAATCAGTGCCCCCCCACCCTGTATGAGCTCCAACTGGGGATTGAACTCACAGTCTAAGTACGTGCCTTGACCAGGATCAAACCCACAACCTTCCGCTGTGTGGGATGATGCTCCAACCAGGAGAGCCTCCTGGCCAGGGCACCAAGCTTTTTACAAATAACTTTTCGCTTAGTGTTTATGGCAACCTGGAAGGTGGTTACCACTATCCCTGCTTGGCAGATCAGGATGCTGAAAATGAGAAAAGTTATGTGATTTTTCTAAGATAACATTCCCTCCTAATTTGGATTATTTTGTTAGGCTCATTTAAAATGTAAAATAATTTTCTCTCTCACCTATACTTGGCTCTCCAAATATTTGAAAATGCCAAATTCCTTCAAAAAACACATGATTTATAAATTGATGTTTTTTACTTTAAGTTTGCAATGAAAACATACTCTCAACTACTTGAACTTATTGCTCTAAAATGCAAAGCTGTTTATATAACAGAAAAACCACTAAAATAAAAATGACTGCATTTCTTGTTTGCATGTTATGGCTGAAAACTGTCAATGCACTAGTAAGGAAATGAGAGAATCCTCCTAGAATAAAATGGAAAAAAGCCTGGTGAAATATCAACATCCTAAGGAAATACATAATATACTTTATTAACTAACATGCTGGAATTAAAGCAGAAAGATACTCTTCAAACTGACAAGGAAAACAAACTCAAGGTCCACGGAAGTGTTTGTGCACCGTATTTCTGACTCTCCACCTCTAAACCCCTTTCTCTGCAGGAAGTTCATCTCACTGTTCAGAAGACAAAACCACATTATGGCCAAGCCGTCTGAGGAGAGCCTATACCCGCCTTTTTCATCATTCATATACAAGAGAAAAACACAGGGGACTGGAACAGACAGACCACCAATGACTGCACATGCCCCCGTGCTGGGAGGGCGCAAGGGGGAGAAGGGCAGGCCTACAGGTGAGCAAAGAGCAAACAGAATCCGCTTTCATGTTTTCTCACAGACAAAACCCCAAGGCCACTCCAGTGGGAGACGTTACAGGCCACTGGCTGCTTTGCCAGAGCTGCCGTGAGGCGCTGCAGCTGCCTGGTGGGGGCAGGTCACTCCATCACTGGGAAAGCAGGAGGAATGGCAACAACCCCTCACGTCTGCACGGTGTTTCATAAATGCATGTAGTTTCCCACCTCCTCCTCACTTTACCAAACCCCATGAAGTAGGGAAGACAGAGGTTATGGCTCCTCTTTTACTGCCCCTCTGCAAGAAAGAGATTCAGAGGCTGAATGACCTGCTTCTGACCAGTCAGTGGATGGTTGACCTGGGACTGAATTCCGGCCTCTCGATTCCTAAAATCTAGTCTACTTGGTACTGTATTATCCTGTTCCTTGCTAGTGTTCTTGTACAACGATGATGAAAACGTTAATTCATCAGCTGAAAAAGCAAATAATGAACTCAAGGTGTAGTTGCTTTGTGCTTGGTAAACACAGTAACTAATGCACTCGGTTCTTTCCTCAGTGAGTGAAAGGTGACGAGTGTCTCGTGATTTGGAATGTGGCATGACATTGGCATGAACTTCCCTGGCTTTCATATCTTGCGCAGCAAAAATGCCACGTGGTGCAGGGTTCCAACAACACATACCTAATTCAAAGGTGGTCCCATGGGCTGTCATGCTCCACGTGCTTGATCTTCGACCTTTCGTCACCATCACAGAGAATTCATACAGTGTATTTGCTTTTAAACCAGTCACCAAATAACTCAAAGTGGTTGCATTTGCATTCTGGAAACATATGATTCAAGAACTTTAGATTTAGCAAATATCAGTAGTTAGCTTTTCTCACCCAGAGCACACATGCTAGTACCTTGTACTTGGTATTGGCCGGGATGTTGGTTTTCCACCGGACTGTGTAGTACCGGGAGTCCGTAATCTTCTGGTGTTTGGGCAGCGAGTTGTCCGCCCACGTGACCCTGATGGTGTCGTGACTCAGAATGGAAGCCTGGACCCCCACCGGTGGCATCATGGGGGTGGGATCTGGCACTGGAGTGTATGGAGCATTAATAACAAATAAATCAACCTCAGAAGTGTCTGGGTAAAAAGTAATTAAAAAGGGAAGTGGCATTTTAACATAAACAAAAGTAAAAGAAAAGGGAAATGCAGGGTAATACAATGAAATGAAAGGTGAGAAATGAAGAAAGAGAAAGAAAATCCAGAGTTAATAGACAACCACCGTTCACTTAAAAGAATATTTTCACTTGTGTCCTTTCAGAAAAACTATCTAGAAAAACACTAATTAACTGTAAGTTCTCTACTATACTCTGTAGGTATATTAAAATTTGATAATCCAGTGATTATACTAACATATTCATACTTAAATTTACTTTAAAGTACTTGAAAATTCTACTTCCTGTCCCAAAGAGATCCTGAAAGGATAAAAATTGCTTTTAAAATCAAAGGCAGAATTTCTGAGCAAGCAACACAAAGCCTGTGATCTGTTTTGATATTTCAGGGCCGAGGTGGAGGTTTGGGACGGGCGTCCGGTGAGCACCACAGGGCAGGGAAAGGCCCTGCTCTCTGACTTGAGCCCTGCAGACCGCCTTCAAGTTCAGGGTGAGTGACGCCCCCAGGGCTCAGCTGGGATTTGCTGGTTCCTGCTGCACTTCTCCAGTTGGGTCAAAGAACAACCCCCCAGGAGTCCCAGTAAGTCACGGGAAATGCCACAGTTATGGGTCCAAGCGACTCAGTCTGTATGAACTTTAGAAGTCCGAGTACTTATCTGATGGAAAGTCCATCCTCAAGTGCTGTCCTGTGCCATGTGGGACAGACACATTCTCAGCAAAACAGAGGGCAGAGTAGGTACAAAGCCCCGAGGACCACGGGCCCACAGCAATAAATACACCAGGATCCGCCTGGGCTTTTCCAACACGCTGTGTAAGTGTACACACACTCGCGTATTTTAAGTTAAGGTTTTAAAAGGGTTTCCCACATATTGTGATTAACCCTTCCTGTAAATCTCAAAAGCATGGGCCAATTATTAGGAGTAACTGCCATGCTAAAGTAATAGTCTCCTTTTGCATGTTTATTTCCTCACAACGAGGACTAAAAATAACAGGGGAACAGCATGCATTTTAATCAGGGGCCTTGTTCAAAGATCAGGACATGTACCACTTAGTTACAGACCACGTACTTTCAGATGCAAAAGTCATTAACACTTCTTTGAGAAAATTTTTTATTTGTAACAACTCTTGAAAAAAGTAGCTAGTTTACATGAGTTAGGAACATTTCCTTCTGTATTTTTAGCCCAAAGACTAAGGGTCTGGCAGACTTAACGCCCACTTCAGTGTGGTTGGGAGGGTAATAATATCAGTGTAATAATTTACAGTTTGAATCTGAACACTTCACCTAAAATGTCATATGGTATGCGTGGGTGAGATTTTGTTATGGTACAGAATCACATGCTTATGGTTTTTTAATGAAAGATTTTGTAATAGAAAAAGGGCATTATTTGTGATGGACCCTGTATATTTTTAAGTCATATTTAAAAAAATTCAAATTTGTTTTTTTCTATTGTAGATTGAATTAAGAAAGTACCAACCTATTTATTTAATAGTCTCTTTTGATCTGGCTTTGTCCCCTTTACAGAAGGCTAAAGCTCTTTTTAAAAGGAGTTATAAACGGTCAGCACAGAGGAGCAGAAACCGGGCAGAAGCGCCCGTGTAGGTCTCATCAGGACGGGGCACGAGGGGGCACGGAGACTCTTTGCAGAAAGAGTCACGCCGACTGTGTGACATTATACAAAAGTGTCCCGAAGACATAGCGGGCAGTACAGATTCGCAATTCTGAGAAACAAGTGGAAAAGAGCATTTCTGAAAGTGACGAATTCTTTGATTTTTCAGTGCCTATTAGAAAAAATTTTCAACTCTAATATATCACTGTGATACACTTTCTCATTCAGATCTAAAGTAGATGTTTTATATGTCTATAGAAATTTTATATTGTACGTATATTCATTTAAAGATATTTTAAATAAATTGAGTATTTGGTCTCTTTTGTAATAAATATACAGTTGATCACATGGACAGTACATCGGACTTTATATTCTTTATATAAAGGTTATGAAAAGCACATACAAAAATACTTTCCCAACCAGCTCAGGTGACTAGTGAAGAAAGTGTTGGGTTTATCAATCATACACATTTATTGCTATCGGTAACCTATATAATTCTTCCAGAGATATGGAGATCTTTTCAGTTTTTTACTCGTTTTAGTTATAACTCACATGGCCAACAGATGAAAAATCACTTTTAATTCCATCAGAACTTATGTTTTTTAATTCAAACACATTAAAAACATGTGTTACGTATCTACCTAGAAATGTTTCATGACAGGGCTGTTCATATTTTCTAGAAAGCGTTTAGAGCAGGAATTAACATAACATTCCATGTTGCAAGCCCGTATTTGCGGGAAGCCTGCACCCGGAACTGCCACACGCGTTCCCACCACTGCCCTCCAGGGGGCGGGCCTGAGGGGGAGGCAGGAGGCCAAGCAGGGCCGCAGACCTTACCGGTGTGAGGCCTGGTCACAGCACTCTCATACAGGGGGATGCCTTCGCCCACGTTGTTGAATGCTTTCAAGGTAATCACATAATGAGAGCTGGGATCTGAAGGAAAAAAAAACAAGTCAAAACACTTCAATTCTCACCAAAGAATTTTGAAAATTCAAGGGTGACCGCATGATCTTAACTACAGAGGAAATGAAAAGACTTCAAACGTCATTATGTGGGACTATTTGCAGTGCAGGGAGATGTGTGACAGTCACATCACATCACGGTTGGCCCCCCTTCCCGCAGGGGGATGTTCCAAGATCCCCAGTGAAGGCCTGAAAACCAGGGACAGCACCACACCCTACACATGCACACTTACGTTTTTCCTGTGTGCACACGCCCACCATGAAGTTTAATTTTTAATTTACCACAGTAACAGATTAACAATAACTAGTAATGACATGGTGTAGATGTGGCCTCCGTCTTGGACGGCCAACCTGAGGACCAAAGGGGCTAAGTGACTCACAGGCAGGCAGCACCCTCAGCACGGAGACACTGGACACAAATGGTTCGTGTCCCAGGAGGGAGACACCGAGTGGGTGGCTTGAGATTTCATCACACTAGTCAAAATGGGGTGCCTTTTAAAACACTATAAATTGTTTATTTCCGGATTCCTCCATTTAATATTTCCCAGTCTTGGTTGTCCGTGGGTAACCCAACTGCAGAAGCTGAAACAGCGGATGAGGGGAAACCGCTGTGTAGAAAAGCCACCTGGGATCCACTCCGTGGAGTCAGTACCAGGAGCGAGGCTGGCTCTGCTTGCATGTTCTCTCGGCCTCGGCGAACGGGTGGTTTAGCAATGCTACCGTACAGTGTGGGGCTTGGACTACAATGAGCAGACAGGGTATTCGTGTGCTGTCAGCCGTAGATGGGAGTTTAAAATTAAACAAATCCCGTTCCTTCTCAGAAGGAGGAGGACAGTGACTGGAACCGCCGAGGCAGAGAAACAAGAGAAAAACTGTTAACTTAGCAACCGTTAACGTCCTTAACTCTCGGGGGCAGTGGGGTAGGGGGAGGGAGGACTCCAAATCCAGGAACTGCCACCACTCACCTGGCCCTCAGACTGACTTTCTGGTAAAACCTGCCCCAGATCACAGCGGGCTCGGAGGTGACGCTGCAGGGAACGTAACACTGACAGCAACCCTCCCTCCAGGTGACCGTGTAAATGCTGCTAGTTAGACTCCATGAAAAGGGGTGTTATTAAGTAAATACTGCTTCTCATTTCCTTGCTTTGTAAGTCAACTTTGAGGTATAGATGGCATATGGTAAAATGTACCGCTTTAAGTGGTATATATAGTTTGCTGCGTTTTGACAAATATGTGTATGAGTAATCACTGCCACAATCAATACACAGAATATTGCCAATACTCCACAGTTCCCTTGTGACTCTTGCAGTCAATTCCTCCCACCCGTTTCTAGGCAACCAGTGACCTTTGTCCCTGCAGATCAGTGCTGCCCATCCTGTAATTTCACAGAAAGGTGGTGACGTGTAACACGGAAACGTGAGGATCTGTGCACATGCTTATTGTCCTCTTGTTTATCTCCTTTGGTAGACTGTTTGCCCAAATCTTTTAAGATTTTATTTATTTTATTTTTAGAAAGAGGAGAAGGAAGGGAGGGAGGGAAACATCACTGTGTGGTTACCTTTCATGCACCTCCCACTGGGGACCTGGCCCACAACCCAGGCATGTGCCCTGACTGGGAATTGAACCAACGACCCTTTGGTTCGCAGGCCAGTGCTCAATCCACTGAGACGTACTAGCCAGGGCTGTTTGTCCAAGTCTTTTGCCTACTCTTTTACTGGACAGTCGTCTTCTTATTGAGTTGTAAGAGTTTTTTAAAATAAATTCTGGACTTAAATTCTTTATCAGATACTTGAATGGTAAGTGTTTTCTCCTGGTCTGGGGCTCACTTTTTCATTTTATTGGTGTTTTTTTTCAAAAGTAGAAGTTTTAAATTTTTATACAGTCAAGCTTACTAATTTCTTAATTTTATAACTTGTGCTTTGTTGTATCCTCATATGTCCCTGCTTACCCCAAGGCCATGAAGTCTTTGTCCTGTTTTCTTCTAGAAATTGTGTCATTTTAGCTCTTGCATTTAGGTCTGCTTTAGTGTATGGTCTGAAATAAGGGTCCAGGAAGGTTCCTTTTCTATGTCATACAGTTATCCAATTATTGTCATACCTTTTGTCAAAAAACCTATCTTCTCCCCAATGAATTATCTCAGCATTTTTGTAAAAAATCAATTGACAATATACATACGGATCTATTTCTGGGTTCTATTCTGCTCCATTAATCACCTGCCTTACACTGATCCTACCACAATGTCTCCATTACTGTAGCTTTGTAGTAAGTCCTGTACTACGGGTCTTCTAAACTTTATTCTTCATTTCAAAAAAGTCTGATTATTCTAGTTCCTTTGAAATTCTACAGAAATTTTAGAATAAATTTACAAGTTTTTACAAAAAAGTCTACTGGAATTTTAGGATTGCATTGAGAATGCAATTTTTAAAAAAGATCGATCTATCTATCTATCTATCTATCTTCAGAGGAGAAGGGAGGAGAGAGGGAGAGAAACATCAATGTCTGGTTGCCTCTTGTGCGTCCCCTGCTGGGAACTGGCCTGCAACCCAGGCATGTGCCCTGACTGGGAATTGAACTACTCGATCCTTTGGTTCGCAGGCCCATGCTCAATCCACTGAGCTACACCAGCCAGGGCAAGAATGCAATTTTAATTCCAATTACCAACTGCTTACTGTTAAGAGTATGGAAATACAACTCTTCTGTATATCACCTTTGTGATATCATCTTGTGACCTTGCTAAATTCACTTCTAGTTTTAGTAGCCTTTCTTGTAGATTCCTCAGGATTACCTACAGTAGCAATGAGTCTGTAGAGTGTTCAAATATTGTTTTCTAAATACCATGGTCCAAGTAACCAGCACTCCTTGGAGAAATGGCTGATTTAAGGGGTCAGGGTAGGGAATACCGGAACCTGAAACACCTTACCCATGTCAAAGAGGAAGGAAGTGTTTAATGACAGATCGGAGGTATCAAATGGAGAGAGGGGAGCCAGTTATAAAGAGATTCCCACTGGCCACTGGCCGTCCTTTCACTGTGAAAGAGAGGGAAAGCTGCTCCTTTTTTAAGGATACTAATAAATGTAGAACAAATAATGGAATTACAAAATCACCATTTGTGAAACACCATGGTAATAACTATTACTAAAGATGCTAAAACTAGTGAGTGAAAGTTCAATGAGAAATGAAATGTTTACAAAGAGGGTACATCTCCCCTGCAAGGTACTTATCAATCACGAGGAAAAAATAACTCTATCCAAGAGAAACGGGGCAGACACCACTTTAACCAGGAGACCACGGTGGACGTCACGAGTGAGGCTCTCCTATGCCCCTAACGCAGCGTGCAGACAGGAGCGCAGCGCGCCACAACACCCCTCCAGAAGGGCACACGCTGAGCGGAGTGAGGAGACATTAGACCAGTCTAAGTCAAGAGAGGGTCTACAAATATAAATGGTCTACACTTTTCAAAAAGGCCACCGTCACTGAAGTGGAAACCAACCACCCAACCCGAGGAACCGCTCCGGCTCGAGAAGACCAGTGAGGCACCGCAGGCGCAGGCGGGGCCGGGCACAGCGTTCCTCCTCTGTCACGAAGGACGGCAATGAGACCACTGGTGAACCACGGACGAGGTCTGCAGATGCCGTCTCAGTGCTAACTGGCTAATTCTGGTCAGTGCAGTGGGTTATAAAGGAGACGTCCTCGTTCTTAGGGAATGTGTGTTAAATATTAGTGCACAGAGAGGCGTCGCGTCCGCACGTCCTTTCAAATGGTTCAGAGGAGAAACAAGGACGTGTGTAAAATGTTAACCTCTGGGGAACTGAGTGAAGGATATATAGGAATCCTTTGCTCTACTCAGGAAGTTTTCTATAAAAATAAGTTATTGCACAATAAAAAGGTAAAAAGAAAGCAACCACCAAGTGCAATGACTCCCCCTGCTTGACATACACACCCAGATTCTCAATGGTGTAGTAGCGCTGTTTATAGTCCACTTTGATGGTCTGGGCGTGCGGGCTGCCGATGCCATAACCGATGGCATACCCTCTGACCACGATGTTCTGGTTCTCCGGGGGCGTCCAGCTCACCACGATGCTCGTGACAAGCGGACGGACGTGAAGAGAACTGGGTACTTCAGGAACGCGAGTTTCTGAGAAGAAAATTGGAAACGCAAGGTGAGATCCATCTTCCTTTAGAACATCCCACCACCCTTGGGGAATGGTGTGCAGTCTCCTGACAAATTAATTGGTGCTGAGTTTTTTCCATTATGTCTAAGAAGAATTCAAAGAGAATCTGTATGTACAGTGAAGAGCAGCCCATGGTTTTACTGTGTTCTCAGAAGACGATGAAACCCAACAAGTCTGAAATATAAAACACTACAATAGTAATTTTGAAGGGGAGACAAAGAGATCTAAACCTCTGCCCAATAAAAAAAAAACAAATAAACTGCCTTTTAATAGCCATTCCTTTTGGTCCCACATCTGATTCCCTAACTTAATGGTAGAAACATGAGCTAATTGTTGGCAGGAAATCAGGATCACATCACAGCAGTAACATTAGTTATTCACTCTCCGAAGTAATATGACAAGTCAGAAAACATAAGCCTTTAGTACCACAAATGGATTTAAGAAGCTTAAAGAGGTTGCAATTTATAGTTGCTTTCAAGGCATAAACTGCTATCTTAATTTTAAAATTAGCAAACCAAAAGCGAGAATAAGAACCCAGGGTCTTTTGTTCCCCAAGTGCAGCTCCCATCTCTGTTAAAGGTACACCCACCCACCCATGTGGACTGACTGACTAAACAACAGGTGAGGAAAAGGACAAGGTGCCTGTGATAAAGCAAAAAGGGAAACTAATGCAAATAAAGGCAAGATTCCCATGGCTCAGCCTTACATTTTAGACCATTCATGTATTTAATGGCCTTGGTAAAAAAAAAACAGACTTAAAGCACCTTTACCTTCTTACTGGCTCTGGTTCTGCTTTAAAGAGACAGTTCTCTGAAAGCTGCTGGGGGAAATGCAGGACACCTGCTGCATTAGAGGAGTGACCGCAGGGTAACGCACTGGAGCCCACAGCGCAGAGGGCTGCACACCTCGCACCTGGGGCTGTCCAGTCAGACTCACTTCACTCCACTGAGTGCCTTGCTGTGTCCATGCTGCTAATTGTGGCTCTTACCATCTAGGTCACTTTCAAAAGTTTCAGCGGACAGCCAGTCAGTAGCCGGGCCTGTGCCATTGACTGTTAGAGCAGCCACTCGGAAATTATACTCAGTCCCCCGATCCAGACCTGGGACCCAAATGACAAAAAGACACAAGCTGAAATATGAGCTTTGGAAAAACAAAATATCTCTCATTAAAGCAAATATCTCATCCACCAATTCAGTACATAGCTACTGTGTTGATAAAGATTTAAAATTAGTACAAAACAAGCAATACATGAATACAGCACAGAGGATCTCCCATCTCTAAAGCAGAAGCTGAGGTCCACACAGTCCAAGAAGAAAACAGAATGAGTAAAGCTCCCAGGAAATGACAGATTTTTAAAAAGCACTAGAAGGCATTTTAGAGATCACTGCGTGCAATCCCTTCATTGTGTTACTAAGAAAGCTAAGGCCAAAAAGAGGCCAAGAATAATGAGTTAGAACAAAGGAACAAAGACACTGAAGAAAAGAATGCCAGATGAGCCCTGGCTGGTGTAGCTCAGTGGATTGACCACGGGCCTGTGAACCAAAAGATCATGGCTCTGTCAGGGCACATGCCTGGGTTGCAGAGTGGTAGGACTCCACTGGTTGTTTGGTAACAGTGTCAGTGTTCCAAAAATCATTTTGTATATGCTGCTACCAACTAGACTGAGCAGATTCTTGGCTTATATAGCTTTAACTTTTTTTTCAGAATACAAAAAAACCAATATATATATTTAAAAAAACAGAGGATACAGAAAAACACAAGGAAATAAAACTCAAACATAATCTCACCATTCAGAGATGGCAAAACTTTCTGTTAATTTTTATCAAGTCAGAGGTAGAACGGATCATTCATTATGCATTCGTTTGAACCATTTTTACTTGGTGTGGGCCAGCAGCTCAGTGTAGGAACCAGACTAGTGTAACCAGCGTGTGAGACAGACCCCACCTCCCAGCTTCTGTCTCTCTGCAAAGCAGCTGACCTTCAATCAGCTGAGACAGCTGTGTCCCAGTTACCAAGGTCTCAGTGACATCACTCTTGCGGGAGGACTTTCGGTAGCGAATTTTGTAGCCAGTAATCTTCCCATTTTGTGTGGCTGGAGGGGGTGGCTGCCAGTGGATCATAATACTCTGGAAAAGACAAGTTTATAGGCAAAAGATGAAATACGTCAAAAGCTTGGTTCTACACTTTTATGTATTACGATCCTAGGTTTAAAGAGGAGGAACATAAAGCAGTAGGGTGTTCAGAGTTTTATTATTTAATAATCACTCAAAAATACTTTTTAATTAAATGCCCCTCCCCACCAATGATCAAATTGGGAGATTGTATTGGCAAGCAGTATACTTTGGGCCTTGATCTTCTGGGTGTTTAGCCAAAAAGACAACACTGGGAAAAAATCTCAAAAGTTTTCAGAAGAAAATATAAGGTCAGAGGTACATGGATTAGAAAGTAAATTGTTGATGGAGTAAAGTTCTCTTCCTATCTCAATTGTGGGACGGTTGAAATTAAATAATTTCTACCTAACTCTTCCAAAGAGGGGGGGTCATGAATTAATAGTTGTTTTTTTAAAAGGAGTCCAATGGTACTTTCTGAAAGGACCAAACATCTCAGATGTCTACGCAGCCCAGAAGGGGCTCTGGGCCTGTTAAGAGATATACAAGCCTTAAGTGCACAGCGAACATGATGAGGAGGGATGGTTTCAGCATCAGCAACCATCAGACACTCACTGGGCTCATCTCACAGGACTAAGGACTACGGTGTCGTAAACGACTTCTTTCTAGCTAATCACCAAGGTTCTGAACTGTTAAGCTCTAGACTGTACCGATTTACGTAACAGCAGCAAATATACGAGGTCTGTCCAGAAGGTATGCAGACATGCACTATGAAAAAGAGACATTTACTGAGAAAATACAAGATACAAGAAACACTGCACCTAAGACAATGCCGCCTCAGTCCCCTTCAATGTAGGCACCTTGGGACCTCACACAGTTCTCCCAATTGCCCTGTCGTATCTTCTTGTATCTCACTGACAGTCTGAAATCTCTTCCCTTTCAAAGGTGGCTTTAGTTTTGGGAAAAGCCATAAGTCACAAGCCACCAAACCTGGGCTGTAACGGGGCTGAGTCACCTGGGCAATCTGATGGTTTGCCCAGCACGTGAAGCGCGAAGAGGCACATTGTTGTGATGAAGCTGCCAATCACCAGCTGCCCACAGCTGTGGCTTCTGAATCATCCCATAGTTTCCGTGAAGGAACGTTCAAGCTTAATGCAAAATTTGATGCAGATTCATTGCTTTATTCTCTCAGTCACTTTGAATGTGATGACCACACAGTACATGTGCTCACTCAAGGGCGTCTACCACCCCCCACCGACGAGTACAATGAAGTTGTCATTGTTCCCACATGCACATTCCAGTCACCTCTCCTTGGCTGCCAGGTTACGTCAATGTCGTACAAACCATTCTCTTTATATTACAACAGCTGGACTTTTTCAGACAGACCTCATATTTAGATTTAGAGAGAGGCTGGCATAATTTTGGCATCAGAGAAAGGCAGTCAAGTTTAAACAGGATAAACTGAAGCTGGCTTCTAAGCTCAGCTTTATCGGCAAGTAGAATAGCTAGGTCACTTTACTTCCTGAGAATGACTGTTTTGGTATAGACTTGCCCTCTCCGTAAGCCCTTCTGAGTCCTACTAATATAGCACTAAAAATGAACAATAGTAACATGAAGTTTTACCTTTGAATTTCTCACTTCTAAGGACAGATTCTGAGGAGCAGCACTGGGAACTGGATAGGCCGAAAAAAAAAGAAAAAAAGAAAAAAAGAAAAAGAAGAACAAATAATTTTTTTCAGTCACCTATCATTTGACTCTTCCTGGGTGGACTTTACACAAATGCACATCCCAACCACTGATCGCGCTACCCAAAGGTCGAAACGCAGCTGTCGGCGCCACTGTGATGACAGACAGCAGTGTGTGGGTAGGTACCATCACGTCTGACTCATTTAAAAATCGAGACACCTTCATACATGTGCACCCCCACCCACATCAGGTTGTGCCTTTGGGAGTCAGATACTTATTTCAAGGATGTGACTGGTTATAAACCTTTCCAGAACCCAGATACATTCTGAACCTTCACCACAGTCTTTTGATTATCCTTAATGACAGTGTAGCATTATTTTAGGGAAGAGCCACCAATTTTCTGGAAACAAGTCTAATGAATACGCCAAGTGAATTAAGTTGGTGAAGGATGAACCCAGAATGTGATGTACATGAATCAGGGAGCGTGGCTTTCTAGAGAGTTCCAAAAGTGGTTTTGAGGGCAGTTCCCACGTAAAGCGAAGAGAGGCTTCAGTGAAGTGACCGTCTGGATCCTCAAGACAACTGCACAGCAGGGAACACTCGTGTAGATGTGAGAAGTATGGGACTGTTGCTTAAACAGCTGCCTAACTTTAGCTCCTTACACGTTAGAACCTGTGACAGGGGCATCTCAAAGTTAACAGTCCACACACCCTCCAGCACTCCTCTTGGTAGTAACTAAGGCAAGCAAAGGGAATTTACGTGATCCTGATTAGTTTCCTCTCGGGTCTTCTAGACTCCAGAATGAGTTCTAATCTTTTTTCTTTCATGAGACTGTTTTTTAAGAATCCAGGCAAGTTTATCTGACTTTTGTGTTTGCATTATTTCCCCCAGTTTAGGTATGTCTAGTTGTTCCGTCAAATGTTAATGTTCTGCCACGCCTGCTCTTTTTCTCTCACTGTATCCGCACACACCCATCCGTCTATCTGCAGACGGTCAGAGGCATCCCGGAGGCAGCCGCGGCCACGCCACCCACTGCTCAACACTGCGGCCACGTGGCTCCTACAGTCGGGTGGTCTCTAGCAAAACTGATGCAATGATCACTTTCAGAAAATTTAATCTTAACACAAAATATCACCTGTCTAATATACCTAGTAGCACATCTAATACTATACATATTTAACATTAAGTAAATGAATCAACAGTGTCCTCTGTTTATTTTTCACTCCCAGATCCAGGAACCAGTGAAAGATCCTAACCAGTTTATATTATTTCATGTGTCTTTACTCTTCTTCAATCTAGATTCCAGAATGAGTCCAGATTCCAGAAAAAAGACTAGATTCTAGTCTTTTTTCTTTCATGAGACTGTTTTTTTAAGAATCTAGGCAAGTTTATTTCATTTTTGTGTTTGCATTATTTCCCCCAGTTTAGGTATGTCTAGGTGTTCCGTCACGACCAGGTTCAAGTTAAACATTTTTCACAGGGGTCCGGCCGACGCGAAACAGGTGCTGTGTCTTTCTCAGTGTCTCGAGTCAGGCGGACGCACACGGTGTCAGCTGGCTCTGTTGTTGCCGATGTTACGTGTTACCATTTGCTTCAAGGAGCCAAACTACAGCTTCTAAGGCATGCATGTTTACAGACATGCATTTTTTAGAAAAAGATATTTTTTAACACATTGGATTTAGGTGAATTTCAGTAAATAATACATACACATACTAAGAATAATAAACTGTTATTTTTCTGTTCTATTCTAAAAATACCATCTTTTTCAACTATAAGATACACCCCTCAAATTTTGGAGGAAAATGGGGGTTTGTCTTATAGTCAGAATGTAGCTTTAGGTTTACCTTGGTGAAACACATTATTTATGTTATTAAATATTTTACCACATTTTTTGCTTCAAAATTTTTTTCCTATTTTCCTCCTCTAAAACCTAGGTGTGTCTTACTGTCTGAAAAATATAGTACAGATTTTTAAGTGCTGGTCTTGATCTGCTTGGTCTCTTTGGCAATCTGTAGTCTGAAAAACTCTGCTCTAGGTAACGGGTATGTGCATACACATAGCTTAGAAACTCAGTCACAGGTGAGGAATGAAACTGTCCTAAAACACCGAGGAATTAAAAAGACCTGCTTGGCATGCACACATTATTGCTAAGTCAAGCAAAGCTAGCCTTCTCACAGCCCCTGAACAGTCTGTGTAATGGATAAGCAATATCGTTTACTCACACAAAAGCCCCCACTGAAAACACCACCAAGAAGCTATTTGGTACCTGTCCTGCCGTGTTCTACGATCTCTCACTAAATCTTTACAGCAACCCCATGCACTTGGTGTTATTCACATTTTTACATTTAAGAAACTTGCTAAGTGACTCAGACACATTAAATGACTTGACCAAAGTCACACTACAAAACAAGGTCTCTGGGATTTGAACAGGATCTTGACATCAAAGCCCATGACCTCACTGCTAAGCCATCAGGGCCCCCAAGCACAGTATTCTGCTCCAAAGGAAGAAAGACTCACCATCTGACAGTGTCTGGACGGCGACATCCTGGGTGGAGACCCCGGGACCGTGTTTGTTGTAGGCCACCACTCGGAAACTATACTCTGTGTATTTTTTCAGCCCGTTAATGGTATGGGAGTGACTCGAAACATCAACATCCTTGAATGAAATAAAAACAATTTGTATACATGCACAACTCACAAACAAAAAAAGCTACAAAAAAATTAACTACTCAAATTCTGTATTTGGCAGAATACAGATTTTTATCCTTTATACAGAATGTTATTTAACATTCAAAGCATATTAATCATAATCATTGGCAATTTACTGAGAACTAGTGCTTAGCATTTAGTTACTCTTTCTGGTAAAAGCTTCAGAATAAACCTTGGCACAAAGAAAGAGAATCTTTCCACTCTTCATTTCCTGGACCTTCCCCACACCTCACATTTCTAGACGAACTGGCACCGAGTTTTGGAAATACAGTTCAACTCTGCTATTCTAATCTACGGGTTGAAAACTGGCTTCATAACATCATACACAGTGTCAGACGGGTCCTAGACCTCCTGGGGCGGTCACTCCATAAGTATATACATGTCTAATCACTACGTCGTGTGCCTGAAACTAACATAATAACGCATGTCAACTGTAATTAAAGAATAAATTAAAAAAAAAGGAAAAAATGACTTTATCGTATACCTGTTCTTTGTCCGTCCCTTTTTCCATGTAGTACAATTTGTAATTCTGAATCTCCCCGTTGCCGGACAACGGTGTTTCCCAGGTGACAGTGATGGAAGTCGGGGACGTTGCGTACGCTCGGAGGTTGGGTGCTGGGCCCGGGAGCTGAACTGGAAAGACAATTTCAAGACAGCAAGACATAAAGTACTCCTCAACAACCATTCTCAGCAACAATGGCATCGCGGCCACCTTTTAAAAACAACAAAAAAAAACTAAAAAAATAATTGATATGACTGAAGTGGTTTTAAGATAATATTAAACAAATTTCTCTTGTTATGACTTAAAACCCAATTTTATCTGTGAAGAATCTCAAGTTTATTAAGAAAAAAAAATGACCACCACAAAACCCCTCCTGTGGTTTATCAGCTCCTGGTTGGGCAGCGGAACAGCAGCAGCAGGTGTGAAGCCATCATCAGAAAGAGGGAGCCTGTGAGGCGGGTGGGGTCGGGGGATGGACAGAGTCCTTGTGCCCAAAGACCTCTGCCTAGAGGGGAGTCAGACACACACACACACACACATAAACAGCTACAAATAATGTCGTAAGCACTGTCGGTCAGGTAGCCAAGGAACCAGAACAGGGAGGAGCAGCCCCAGACGAGTGCGTCAGTTGGCTGCAGTGTCGTCCTGTGCACGGAGAGGTTGTGGGTTTGATTCCTGGTCAGGACGCGCACAGACGGCAACCCACTGATGTTTCTCTCTCTCTTTGATTTCTCTCTCCCCCCACCCCTCCCCCCTCTCTGAAATCAATAAACACATCCTTGGGTGAGGATAAAAAAATAGAAAGGGAGCACACAATCCTGTTTTGGGAGGGTGTGAGCAGTAAAGAGAAAGATTAGTGACAATTTCTGCAGAGCAAGGAAAATGAATGGTTTTTTCGATTCTAAGGGGCAAAATGATTCCAGCAGATGAGGAATAATATGCGAGAAGAGTGTTATGTGGTCCAGGCTGTAAGAGAGAGAAGATGCAGGACAGAGAACACTGAAAAGGATGACAAGAGCTGGACAATGAAAGACCTTTAATGTCCTGCCACGGCATCTGCATTATCTCAGATAGTTACTGAAAAAGTATGAGCAGAAACACGACCCAGTCGGGCATGTGTTTAGAAAGGATACGTGAGCATATGCATGGAAGAAAGCAGTAAGGGAACAAGACGCAATGAAAGAAATCATTTTAAAAACAGCTACCTGTTCCTGAATGTTTATAGTCAGTCCAGCATTGAGTGCTTTACTTGTATTTAAGTCACATCTATTTAATCTTCACACTAACGCACACGAGGTGGGTATTATCGTCATCCCCACTCACAGATGAGGTCGAGAGGTTAAGAAGCATCCCAAGGGAAGGAGAGTTAGTGAGTGGGAGGGCCAGGACCCGGGCGCTTTCTGGTTCTAAAACATGGACCCAAGAAGACCAGTGAGGAGATCATCGCGACCCCTGCAGAGGACGTGTGTGCCTGGAAGACTCGCCGGCTGGCTGAACAAATGCTGCTCAGCTCTGGCTCCCGCAGCGTCTCGCGGACCCGTACACCTTTTCACTGCGTTCTTTCTGTCTGACTGTTGGTTCCAGCCTCAGTTTCTACACCAGTCCTGGGCGGCTGCCCAGACCAACATTTTGCTGGATCCTCTATTTGAAAGCAACTTTTCTGGTGCTAGTGGTTCTGTAACAGACACCCATTAGGTTTAAGGAAGGAAAAAAACTAACAAAATATAAAACAAACTGGCTTTCTTAAATAATAGCACCACAGCTTAAAATCAGTTTTGCTACCGAGGTAGAGGTACCTGATTATGGTTATTCTCGACAGTGGTTTACTTTTTAGTCCCGAGTCATGTTACTCACTCAATGTAAAGAGCGTATTTCGTGCATCCTGACAGGTGGGATTCGTCACACTTCTGCTGATACGGAAAACTTTCCTCTAACACAATAAAGGGGAAAGAACACAACAGTCCCCAAATTCCCATGAAATCACTTTTAATACCTTCATGGCTAACCTAAACACAGGCCAGTATGACCCTTAAAAAGGTGCTAATCAATTCTTTCATTTTAGCTGTACAGTGGCATAATAAATGGGAAACAACTAAACATGTAACATATTTTCCAAGGCTGACAGCAACCCTGAGCCCCCAAATGCCCCAGGGCCCGCAGTGGGGTGCACGCTGCTCCCCTCAGCGCCTTCCCTCCGCAAAGCACATGCCCTCCACCTGCAGTCTTACTGACAACTTTCTTTTCAACAAACTCCTGAACAAATGACTGGGCCGCCTGCTGTCCTCGTGGTGACAGCACCTCACACTCCTGTCGGTTTGCCTGTCTCTGGCATGAGACCGTAAGCTTCTTGTGGACAGAAGCCAAGTCCCACTCATCTCCACATCTCGACCCGTCTTTACATCAGTGACTGGCACACATGGCAGGCACTCAAAACAATCTACTGCCCTCACACTTTTTTCTTTCATCTTCAAATTGACAATGACCCTTCTGGTCCAGTGGTTCTCAACAGTTTGACTCATAAGTTCTGAAATGATTTTTAAAATGCCACAGGCTCTTTCCCAAGGAGAATGTGACTATGTACAGACATGCAAATATTTTAATGTATTTTCAGAAAGTTCACAGCTGTAGGGCGGAACTCTTGCACTGGATCAAACTCAGTGGTCTTTCCCTTTATTTCCATTGTGACTCACCCTGCATGCATAGTTTGATCCTATTTTGGGAATTTGGGTCATGCTGTTTCCCTTCCCAAGAATGCTTCATCTAAGTCAAATGTTTCCAGGCCAATTCTCATCTCTCCCTAGGAGCCTGCCTTCAGATACCTAGCTTTTACAGTAATTGTTCCTTGTTTTGTGTCCCAGTATCTCTCACATAAATGACACCTGTACATGAGAGTTAACGGAAGAGAACTGAGCTTGAAACCTAACAGACTGTTTCTGTTCTTACCGGAACACCGTAGCTGTGGAACGTGACAGCCTTCCCCATAATGAAAACGCATTCTTTCCTTAAGTCTGTCCCCTGACTCTCTGACAGCTCCCTTGTTCCTGATGGGGTTTGATCCCTGATCTTTACCCTGTATCACTGGCATGATCAACAATCTCCCATCTTGACTGCTCATTCTTTAAGGTGAGAAGTCCTACCTTGTGCATTCCCTGCATCTCCAATACCCTGTGCAGTACTTGGTATGGGGGATACTCAGTAAAGACTTGGTGACTGAATTATCTGCTCCAGCATTAGGGAGTGAAGTCCCATAGCTTCTGGTCTTTACTTATTCCGCCCATTAGCCCATGAAGTCTTTGAATTACTTCTGTAGTTTTGTTGGCAAATTCATGAAATCTGTTTAGTTCCCTGGTCAGTAGCCTCCACAAACGTCTTGCAGCTATGCCAGCCACAGCCAAAGTGAAATCTTTGTTACTGGAAGCTTAACAGTAAAAGAAAACTGGAGAAGACTATGATGATAAACATGGCTTGTGTTAACAGAAGGTAAAAGTGGAGAAGAAAGCCTCTCGGGAAAAGCATTAAATAATAATTTGATTACTTCTTACAATTTCAGGCCTATATAGTTTGCAACCAAAATTTAAGACATACAAGACATTTACAAAATAAATCAACCCGATACTCATTTCAGTTGCATAAAATCTTAAGAAACGTAATTGGAAGTAACAGTATTTGACATGAAAGACCGCGGGCCCACAGCAAAGCCGTAAAGAGATGCTGACGTAGGTAAAGACCAGGTGAGTCTGGGGATGGACCGCACACCCAAGTAGGGCGTCAGACACTGGGAAATGCAACGGTGACGATGACTGTCTTTGCCATAAAATAAATGAGATATATTCATAATCACAATTAGAGGAAGAAAATGATAATGTATCTTAGAACTGAGGAGATACAATATTAGCCAAGATCAGAAGAAAGACTCTAGAAGGCAGCTGTTCGATGTGAATTAATTTTACCTTTCGTAACTAATTCATAAAATCCCTAAAGGCAAGAAAGGAGTCCTGCGAGGTGACTGGAGGACTTACCCTCAGGCTGGGTTTCCACGTGCAGAGGAGCTGAGCTCTCCCCCGAGCCATGCTTGTTCTGAGCCATCACTCTGAAGACGTACACGGTCTCCGGCATTAGATTCTGAATGGTTACCTGCATTTCTCCTGGGCGACTGGTGTTCTCAACCCGTTCCCTTTAGACAAAGAGGGATTCAGAAAGAATCAGCATTGATTAGGATTATTTCTAAAATACTCGGTTTCATTTTCATTGTAATACCTGTATACCACACCACATCAAAATCTTACCAATTTATATCCAACTAACTCTCAAAAAAGGGAACTTCTGAGAATGAAACAGTGCACAGAAGAACAGAGAAACCTGCAAAGAGCAATGCCATGCATGTCTGGTAACTGACTGATGTTCTTGTTTAAATATTACTGACATCGCTGGTTACATGACCACAACTTCTTTGCAGAGAAGACACAGACTGAGTCTTCCCACTGCCATTTCAAATGAGCCAGCTGGTCATCAACTGTGTAGGCTTCAGAAACTACCGACTATTAAGGGGCGATTCTCAGGGATACAAACAGAACGTGATTATAGGTATGACTCAATTTCCACAGAAAACATCGAGGGATGCTGTGCATACTTTGGATAACAGAGTCTCAATAAAAGGACAACTAGAGACTATGACTTTTAAAATTGGGAAGAAAACAGTAAAAATTCAATAAAAGCTAAAAGTAATCTAATCTATAAAGTAAGTTAATCATGACACTGATTTTTATTATTTTTAAAAAAATACTTTTTAAATTATATTTTTCAAAATGCTTTGAAATGTTTGACAAATCTCATCACAAACAGTACAAATGAATCTAGCAGTCTAGCATCATGAGATGGAAATACAAAAGCAATTTTCCAGGTTCTTTAAAGAAAGCAGCATCTGGGCTCAACCTGGGGGGTCTCTGCACCCACACCCGAACGCAGAGACTGTGCTCAGCCACTATACTCACTAGAACAAAAACCAGACGGCACCACACATGCACTTTCAACAGTGTGAAGGAATTTACTTGTATTAGACAAAGAACTAGCCTTTAAAAATTGCCAATCATGTGAAGAAAGATGTGTACCTATCCTGAGAAAGTAATAATAAAAAGGCCCCAAACTACTCCGTGGAAGAAATTATTTGAAATTATCTAATTTATTGAATTATAATTTGAACTTTAAAATATTGATAATTTTCCTCCAAAAGTACTGATTAAAATTTTAGTTCTACATAACCAGTTTGTCTTACTGTATAGGAATGAACATCTTCATTTTAGAGATGGAAGTGTTTTTCAGTAGTTTGCTGTAGTTCTTTAACCTACCTTCTTTTAATTAAAAAAAAAAAAAAACAGACAGTACCCACACCATATTTATGAGCTGTGTTTTTTTCTATCAACAGGTGCATTGGAAAAGAGTACTATGGTAACATAAGTTACCGCTCAGAGAAACATTTGAGATATTTATAGATACTATTTTCTCTTCAGCTAAACCTCTAATTCTCAAGATTTGGAAGGAGGATGGCAACTGAATTCCTACACCTGAGGTTTCTGACACAATGACTGTGGTATGAAAGGAAGTATGGTATTTTATCTCTCACTAAACCAGCTATTTCCAACCACACATAAAGTAATTACTAAAATTCTGCAGCACACCAGAAAAAATTACATGTTTTGCCAATCTGACAAAAAAAATAGGTGTCATTTTTATTCATTCACACGGAACAGCTATTGTGTTGGCTGTTGTCATTTTCTGATTTGACAATCTAAGAGAAAAGAGGTCAATGCCCCTGACTAAATAGATGGGCATGAGAATATTGTAAATATTCTTGTGGCACAGTGGTTGAAAATTCCTGCTCTAAACTAAAAGCTCCGCCTGAGAGTACAGGCTAGAGGTCCCTTTTGCTCACTCTGTGCTTGAAAGTCCAAACAAGCTCCCTCTGGAACAACGAGAGTGCTGCTTCACTGTAAACTGAAGTGAACGGCTGTCTCATGTGCGTTTACATTCTACAGACGCACTCGGCAGAATGCTCACACGCAACGGAAACACAACTGTGTGCTGACTGAGGAATGGGAATCTGCCTTCCGATACCTAAATCCTGTAGAGTAATGATACCACGTGCATCTTTGGTTTGTTCTATGTGGAAAGGGAAAAATGGGAGACATGAGTGAAAGGAACTAAAAACTTAGAATAAGTTCCAACAGTAGCTTTAAAATGAAAAAAGTCAGCAACAGTTATATGTCTTTAAGATTAAATACCCAGCACCTAAAAAGGCTTCTAATATTAGACTGGTCTGAGCTCGCAGAACCAAGTGTCAGTCTAGCAAAAAACTTCAGGGCAAGACAGATCCAGGGTGAGTTATAAAGGACAATGCCCGTAAATGTGTCAGGTTACAGTGGGCCTTAGATTAGAATGTGTCTGCTAACAGAAAGTCAAACAAAAAGAAAAAGGTACACCTGGTACAAAGACAGTGTGGGGTGCTAAGTCAGGAGCTCCCGTTCCAGCTCTGGCAATAGTATGAGCTTTCCAAGGGACTGTGGGCAAGTCCCTAATGCTTTCTGGGCCTCAGTTTGCTCATGCAGTAAGTGAAGAAAATGAGATCAGGACAGCAAACTTTCTTTAAGGGCCAAATATTTCTTAAATATTTATAGGCCAAGAGGTAAAATGGAAAATATTATGTAGTTACTTATATATCCTATTACAATGTAACCATTTTAACATGAAAAACTGCTCTTCTCCTGGGTCATAAGAATAACAAGTGTGATGTGGCCCAGGGTCCATGGTGTGCCAACTCCCAGACTAGACTAACATGTTCATCTCTAAAATGCTCTTCATTTCTGGAATAACTTCCTGTGTTCTCCCTTTAGTAGCTAATATCACAAAGGAGTTGCTGTCCACATTAAAGGCACTAAAAATAAAAGGCGGGCATTTCATAGTTGAAAAGGTGGAGCAAAGAAGGGCCTTTTGAAACTCAGGAACCCAAGAAATTTTGGTAGGTCTCTGACCAAGGCACATAGCGCCACCTGGTGGTTGAATTTTCAAAGGTGGGAAGTCGGCCTATAAATCTGAAGAAAACTTCCTCTCATTTTGGTGAGAAAATTTAAGCTTCTACCAGTTAAATAAATTTTTTTTTATAAAACACATAACCAGGATCTAGTCTTTTTACTTCTGTTCTTTCTACTCCTTCACCACTTCTGCTCGGAAGTCATAAACTTAGTGAAGTGACAGAACATTACAGTCTAGCCTCCAAGAATCTTCCTTTGACATATTTCACGTTTTTATTCTATCCACTACAAGTCGCTGCTTTTATCTTCACTGAGGCCATACCTACCACACGCCAAGATGAACAAAACCACTGCTCGACTCATTTCCCTAACTCCATTTCTTCTCCCCTTTAACCTTGTGTGGTACTCGCAAAGAAACGCTTGCTATGTAATAAATCACAGTGCACACTTGCTCAGGAGTTTAAAATGGCCCCTTCTTAACCGACTGTGCCCAAAGTCTTACTGGTAGGCCAACATTTTGCTCCAAACTTCCACTTTATTATAATATCAAATTCCTACCAAAAACTGACTACTGGGCCAGTCAGACTAGTTTTCTTGGTTTCCCACCCTTCAAACGCCACACGCACACAAATTAGACTGGACGCTCCTTGCATCTTCTCTTCCTGTATACTATATTCTCTTCCAATTTAACTTCCATATTTTTTCTAAATTCCACCTTCATTTATTAATACTCCTGCTTATTTCAAATCTAGGATGCATCTAAAATTTTGTAATGTGACAGATTTTCATTAAAAACAAAAGTATACGTAGTTAAAAGTTTGAGCTGTTTTTGCTTCTTAAAACCTTGTCCTGCCCCGAGACCTAACTGTGGCCTGGGCTGGCCTGCATCTCGCCAGATCTCTGCGAGCCAGGCTCTCTCAGCCTCAGCACCGCTGAGACTGGGGGCAGGAGAATTCTTTGTTGTAAGGGGCTGTCCTACACACTGTAGGATATTTGTTAGCATCTCTGGCTTCCACTCACTAGATGCCAGTAAGCATCTCCTAACCAAAAATGTTCCTGGACACTGCTAAATGTCTCCTGGGAGGCAGGGGACAATCACAGGTGTAAGCGTTTATACACACGTCACAATATATAGATGTAAGTCACTTAACAGTGCCTGCCTCATACTTCATACATAATACAATAATCATGTACCTGTTCCTCTACCAGCAGACTTTCTTCTTCATTAGAACAGTGCTACAATAAACATTTTATATGAGAGCCCCATGTATATCTGTATACATACAGGACACCTGAAAGTGTAATTGTTAGATTGAAGGGTAAGTGCACCAAGAAGATACAGGTGAAACATGCTAACTCATTATTTTGAATTTCTAAGATTGGTGGTAATAGTGGAAACTGGTTTTTAACTTTAATGAACTTTCCACTCACTTCTATGAATCATCTCCTCAGGCTATTTGCCTCTTGGGACATCTCTATTTTCCTTAGGATTGTTGGAGCTCTTTCCACAGACCGAACATCAATACAATCTTTTATAAACAGTATGCATTTTCCCAACTTAGGACTTGGCAGTTTGACTTCATTTACCTTTTATCACATGAAATTTTACTATGTTATATAACATTAAAAATAGCTTCTCTTTTTCTAAAACATACATTTCAAAAATATCTCTTGATTCATCTGTAATTTGTTATACATAACACAAGACAGAGACAGAACTTTTTAAAAAATCCTCACCTGAGAATATGTTTTTGTTATGCTCCCTGACTGGGGATGGGACATGCAACCAAGCCACCTGGCCTGGGCGAGAGACAGAACTTTTATTTTTTCCACCTAATGGAATTAATTATTTCAACATAATTTCCTGAATAATTGTTATTTCTTCATCGACCGAAATTAATGTACTCTCTTAACGAATATTCACTGAGTGCTACTACAGGCCAGGCACTGTTCTGGGTGCTGGTAGTACTCTATTGAACAAGACAGTCACAATAAATAAATTAGTAAAAATGAGAAAATTTCAGAATGTTACATGTTGCAGAAGAAACGCAGAGAAATAAAACAGGGCAGTGTGATAGCAGTGTTACTCAAATAAACATTTTAACAGTCAGCTCTGGTTCGCAGCCCTGGTCACTGCAGATACTCCCGCCACGCCATCGGGCTTGCAACGTCTCCTGAAAACTTAATAACTGGCTTGGGAACAAGGTGGCTCCCGGACAGCACAGTGTGAGAGCGGCTGAGAGGCTAAGCTGAGCGGCTGCATGAAGCCTGAGGAGGTGTCACCTGAGGGTGACAGACAGGAGCCAGACACGGTTATTTGTGAAGGAAGGTGCACACAGGAGGAACGGGGCCAGGCAGTGAAAGCGAGCTTACAGTTCTGAGGAGTGCTGACTGCTTTCTTTCTCCTGTGAAATTCTAAGGAAATTTGTAATGAGATTTGAAAGCCGAATGGAGGCTTTTTTAACAGGTGCTGTTTCATAGTAAAGTCTTGACTTTTTGTGCCAAGAACTATGTTTCTGCATCTCTGTGATTCCCAAAACGATCCAGCAGGGTGTTCAGATAAACACCGCCCTACGTACACCCCCGTCTATCTGGCTCAGCCACGACTCCACTTCTTCTGGGCGCTACACCAAGGAGTCTCCATTTGATCAAGGCTCCTGCAGCTGCTGAACTCCCCAGTCTGGTATTCAAGATAATATCTATCCAATGCCAGCACTCCGGCAGAAATACAAGCTTTATTTCATAAGTTAAGGCCCAAGTGAAACAGACATTTTATCTCTTTTTTCTTCTTTCATTTTCTTTTTCTGGGGTGGAGCAGTAGCAAAACGAGGGAGCCCACTCAGCAATGCTAGGAACACACAGTTAGCATGAGGCATGGTTCCTCCCAAGGAGTTTATAATTGGGTTGGGCAAACACAAGAATCCACATAAAAATACAAAAGTGACAGCTCATGGCAATTTAAGCTCATGTGTTAAGTGACCCATGAGTGTCACAAATGAGTGTCACAAACACACATCTACGAGAAATGCTACAGGTCCCAGAAAGGGCAGAGAAGGCTTTAGGGGGGATCATGGGGCTCCACCAGGGCCGAGAGGGTGAACGGAATTTAGCTTTGGCTGTGAAAAGGGAAAGGGGGACGTGAGTGAAGAGACGAGATTGGGGAAAAGGCCACACAGTGATGAGAACTGGACCCACTGCCTTTAGAAAGTGAGTTCCGCTGGGTGGTGGGAACAAAAGGGTGTCAGACACACACAGCTGGACTGTGGAGGAAAGGAGCCTGGGGTTCTGGATAACCTGTGAGCAATGGAAAGGCAACGCGAGGTCCTGGAAGGGGTGGAGATGGAAAGGAACTTAATGAAAATGCTGTTTTAGGAAAGTGAATCTGTAATTCCTGTGTCATCAAGGAGATGCCCTGAAATTCAGCAGCCCACATACACACAAGGGTGCAAACATCATTTCAGACTGGATTAGTGAGTTAAGTCTACTTAATTTTTAGAATCCGAAAGTTCTAAATAAGCTTTATTTTATTAGACTGTGCTGACTGGATCTTATGGACAAAGGGTAGCCCTGGTTACAGTTTAATACTTCAACCCAAACAGCTCTATCTATCTTCTCTCCAAGTCAGCCCAGAAAGGCAGGAAAGAATTCCAAGACTTCAGTCTGTTTGGGAATTTGTTTCTAATGACCTACAATTAGGAAAGACGCATCTCTCAGTAATCACAGAGCCAGGGTGAGCGCGACTGCGCTGGGTGGACCGAGATGGAGCCAACGGGCTTCAGACGAACGGGCACTTACCTAGCAACCCCCTCCTTGGTGTAGAAGACGGAGTAGGTGAGGTTGTCTCCCTGAGGATCTGACGCAGGTGTCCGCCACGTCAGTTTGATGAAGCGGGTAGAGACCAGGGAGGCCACGACGTCCCGGGGAGCTGAAGGCAGTGGTCCCGCTGTGGCTGGTGCTAGATGGTCAGTAGTGGCACTGGTCAGTGAGGTGGGAGGTAATGTTGGGATGGCAACATCTTGTCATGTGCAAACATTGGGGAATATGAAGGGAAAACCACGACGGTTTTAAAAAAGAGAACAGAAAGAACAAAAAACAAAAAAGAAATAAACAAAACCACGATGGGAAATAAAATAAAATGAATGAACATAAAAAAGGCCATTAAACTGAAGGCTAACATGCAGGCCAGGGGGAACTACTGAAAACTAATGGGCACCGCTCAAGGCCCATCACTGCTGAGCAGGCAGACTTTCTGGTCACCATAATGGTTGTGGGCAAGGACAGGGAGGGTGAAAGCTGGGAGCGCAACATCTCACAGGACACGGCAGTGCCCATGTAACGCTCTTTAATCCTGAAGGCAGCATGCGGCACCTGTCGAACTTTGCATTCGAGTCTCATAGGTGATAAAACCTCAGCACTTTCTAGTTCACCAAACCACGGGCAGTGTGTGTGGTGCGCCTGCACCCGGGTACACTCCTCAGGGGCCCCGGGCACCGTGGCCTCGCTGAGAACTCTGTGCCCTCAGCTCTGCAGGGATTCCACAGCCGCATTTTCAATGTTACTCTAACATGTTAACTTCTGCCCTCAGTGTCATATCCAGGGAGTTTTGTACCCTCTGTATCCAGGGAAGTCTGACAACCTTCATCACTTTGCTAAGTTACACAGTTCATTTGCTATCTTATTTGCTATCGGGTAAGTACAATAGTATAAAATTGTGAATCAAACATTCCAAAGGCACAGAAATAAAATGCGCAGGCAGCTTATCTGTACCACACGGCTCTCGCCAGGGTGTTACTAGGCGCGGGCCGGGGGGAGCAGGGCAGAGCCAAAGCTCTGTGCACCTGCAGTCCTGGCTAACGTTCTGACCTCCTAGGGCAGTCCCATGGACCATTCTGCTTATATAAGTTTATCCCCAATACTAACCTAAAATCTCCTTCACCTTGGGTCCAGAGAGCACAAATGTAATCTTAGAATTTTTAACGAAAGGAGTTTATTAGAATCGTGTCATGACCTTAATGGGGAAATCAGCAGAACAGACAGAGAGGAGAACGTGAAAACTCTCTACCTAGTTTTCAATGAAATGGTACAGCAGCGATCCCTTGGCAATGTCTCTGAACTGCAAGAAACTCCAAAGTGAGGCAGTCTAAATAAATATGCCAGAAAGAATAAATTCTCCAAGGGCAAAGGCAGAGGAAGAGCAACCTAAAGTCTCTAGATTCGTGAAGAAGGGGATAGAGCATTCCAATAGCCACCATTTACTACACAGCACCATAGATCTTCATATAAACTCATTCGATTCTTACAACCCCCCCCGAAATAGGTACAGTGCTCTCATATATCATATATCTCTACCTTATATGCAGAGACTGACATTTAAAAGGGCTCACTCACTCATCCCAGGTCACTTCTACTAAGTGGTAAAGTGTTTTAAAACCAAACTAGGTTTTTAGTTTAAGAGGCCTCTGGATTTAGCCAACGGGAGTTCTAGTCCTGCCTGTACCACCCACTGATGAATGTCACCTGGGGCAAATCGGTCATTCTCACTTGAGAATGTCACTAGTGACTTGTTCCTTTTCCTCCTGAGGAAGTGCTTTTAAGAGTGCAGCGTGCTATCAAAATGTGAGACTGTGAAGTCACAGTTCAGATACAAGTCCGAACTTCACTGACACAAGTGTCCGGTCTGAATGGCCACCCAGGCCTCATTCCCACCCCTTACACTTCAACAGAGGTGCTTCCTCAAAGGACACACACAGCCTCCCTCACGGCTTTCAGAGCTCTTTCCCACACGCCGTGTCAGTTCACCGCCACCCGCCACCCCAGAGGCTGCGTGCGCTGATGGGACTAGGCGTGGAGTGAGGGCGAAAGGCAGTGCAGGGCTGCTGCATGGGCGCGTGGGTGGCAAGTGCCGTCGGCAACAGGGGAGGAGACAGCAAACCGAGGGAGAGGCGGTGGATCTGGTTTGAACATGTGTCTAAAGTAAAGACCCAACATGCGCAAGAGAAACGTATAGAACGCAACTGGAAAAGTGGATCTGATATTTACAAAGTCACTAAACCCGTAGAGAAATGGTTCGGAGTGGCCTGGGGAGCCCCGCTCCACTGCCTCCTTCCTGTGCCCGCCTAGAAACACAGTAAGCTGCCTCCGAGTCTGACCCAACTCACCAAACTAAATCTTTTCCACCTATTCGCTGGCTGGAGGAGACGGGGAGCTTGTAAAACGAGGGAGCACTAGGCCACGATTTCGAATATGAAGATGTTATGGTCAAAACTTGACTCAGCCACTTCCTAATAATGTAAAATTGGGCCAGTCACTTAGCCTCCCTACCCACGCTCCAGGCTGATATGAACGAGATGAGTATCAGTAAGAAATGTGCACTGGAAGCACATGTGACCACCATGACGAGCTTTAAGTGGGTGATAGACACAAGAATATTAAACATAAAAAGGCAACTAGGGAAGGGCCATAAGCAGGGGGGACTAGGTGAGGGAACTACGTAATGGGCAATAACTGGAAGAGTCCCTCAGAGAAATGTTCATTAGACCACTGAACTTCTGTTGCACACAGCTGCAATTCTTTAATGCCGGCCCACATTTCCCACTCACATTTTTCCTGTTCATGTTACATCACTTACACTAACGTATGGGCCACTTGAGGGTAAAATCTGAATCTGTTTTATCTGGGAATCACTCACCATTCCTCTGTATACTTATCAGATTACTAAGTGGAAGGAAATTCAGGGAGGATGTTAGTGCAGTGGTGATCAGTGTTTTAAGAATCTCATTACACAAGGCAATACCTGAATCTTTTGAGCTGATACAAGGTATACACAGATGATATTCACATAGTGATGTTATATCAACATTTGCTTTGCAAATGCATTTTTTCGGTTGTACACGAAGTACGAGTGTAAATAACGCTGAATCACTATAACTGATTCCTACACAGCCGCGGCAACAGTGCACGCCCACTGCAGGGCCTGTGCTCCACACCCACCACCCCCAGACCGGGTCGCCTGCTGCCGCGCTGGCTCACGTCTGGCTGCGCAGGTAAGGGAAACAGCCTGATGTGATGTCAGAGAGCCAAACAGGCAGTTAAGTTGCACCAGAATCAATGGCATGATGATGGAGACTGGTCTGAGGAAGTCAACATACCCTCCTTCCGTTCTGGCAATTATAAAGCTATGCAAAAAAACTGTCAAAAACGTAGGACTATCCAAAGGCACACAACCAACTGAGGCATTTATATGAACACTATTCTACTTAGGGAAAAACAGCAAGTCTGTGGCATATCTGCCTGGAGCTGCTCCCAGCCCCCTAGCTCTGTTGGGGTGGTCTTCAACCAGGGCAAGGCACGCCCTGGAAAGCAGTGGCTTTGCTGCCGCCACCAGAGGGGACTCATCTGATGTGAAGCATTGTTAGTTCAAGTGGTGATCTTAATGGCAAGTGCATAGAATATTAAAATATGTTCACAAAACCAAAGCAAATGGTCAGGAACTATGCAGGGTCTCAGAGTTTACCATATGCATTAACAAGACAGTAATTACTGTCCCATGGGTGCTGGCAAAGGCACAAGTCTTGCGTCAAAGACGAAGAACTTCGTTGCTCAGGGCAATGGCAGCAGCCAGTACCCCTTGTTTGCATCCATTAGTTCCCCACGACCCCCAAGTTCCACGGACAGCATGCAAGGGCCCAGGATGGGTGCCTGCACATGACCCAGGTTTTTAAAGAAGAACCCTGGACTTGAGGGCTTTGCCACTTTCGTAGCAAGGAAAAGCATGCCCCCAGACAAAGAACCAGCCTGCTGCGGCGCTCTCATTTAATTCTGTTCAGTCAGAAACACACTTTGTATGATTTGGGTCTTTTTAAATTTACTGAGATGTGTTCTGTGTCCCACCACGTGGTCTATCCTGGAGATGGTTCCACACAGGGTGGGAAAAGTAGGTTTACAGGTGTGAGTCTGTTCTTGCATTATTTATTAACTATTGTATTCTTTTCCACATGAACAACTGTAAACCTACTTTTGCACCACCCTATGCATAAAAAGCATGTCTGTAATTGTTGGATGGAGATTCTATAATGCCAGTTACGTTGAGTTGGCTGATAGAGTTGTTCGAGTCATCGATACTCTAACTTTCTCTGTTTTATCAGTTTTTGAGAGTGGGATATTAATATCTCCAACTATTACCACTGAATTATGTATTTCTTCTTTGAATATAACAATTATAAATGCTCGTGTATCTAACAACAGAGCCCCAAAATACTTGAATTCAAAGAAATCTGGGATTCCAAATATTTAGAAGTCAAACAATCTACTCCTAAATAACCCAAATTCAGAGAAAAAAAATCACAAGAAAAAAACCTTAAAAATATTTTTAACTGAATAGAAATGAAAATACGACATATTAAAAATTATGAGATGTACCTAAATCTATGTTTGGAGGGAAATTTAAATACCTTTATCATAAGAAAAGTCTCACATGAATGACTTAAGCTCACATCTTACTAAAGAGTGTGTATCTGAAATGTTCACACACATGCACGCACACACAGAGGTAACAGTGAAGTGAAGGACTGCTAATTAATTTCGCTGTAGAAACCCTTTCACGATGCACACATACATCACATCATCATGCCACACATTTTAAATGTCAGGCTGCCCAAAAAGTTCATTTGGTTTTTCTATACAATGGCTCTAGTAGCACTTACTTGTCTAAATTCATTCGAAACAATTCCTTAAGTGGTACTGTGACAGCTGTCATTTCAGTGTGCATTTGAAAAAAGCTTATCTAAATTGGTAAATTTTTACATAGCCATTTTAATACTGAAGATGGAAGAAAATGCCATAAAATTTTGGTGTATCATTCTTATTATTTCAAGAAAAGTGAAAACACAACAGAAACACAAAAAACCCCGAAAAGATTCGTGCATATGTGCAGAAGGTGCTGTGACCGACTGAATGTGTCGAAAGTGGTTTGTGCAGTTTCATGCCAGACGACTGATGCTCCACGGTCAGGCAGAC